GGCTTCCCAGAAACAAAGCCGTGCTCCTCGCTGACTCCGCACAGAAGCTGTTCTCATGCCGTTTTTGCATGAGGCCGTGTTCCGCAATCCCTCCTGACCCCAACAAACAGCTGTTAAAATACTGGCCTCGCTGGAGATGTCCATGCTCTGCTCTGAGGCAGGCCTGGAATCCAACCTCAAATCTGAGGGCCTGGCAGAATCCCCAGGGACGGGAGGGAGCCTGTCCCCTAGGGAGCCTGCTGCATCCTTCTCACTGGCACCCTGCACGCCTCACCCAGCCGCCAGCTTTCCCTGCCGCCAACAGTGCCAGTGTTCACGCCTCCGAAAAACCTCATTTACCTGCCAAGGACCTGTTTCACACCCTGCCCTTCTGCCCGAGAACACCTGCTCCGTTTGGCAAACACACATACACACACACACACACACACACACACACACACAGTGGAATCACGAGATCCACAGGTGCTTTCAGAGTCTGGCTCACAGGTCTGGGAACGTCCGCCTGCACCCCCAGCCCTGGCAGCGGTGGGCACCTCACCTCTGCGTTTTCCTGGCCGGGCACTCACACCGATGAGGCAGAGCTTCATGGCCCAGGCTTTGGAGGGAGACTGCCTGGGTTCACAGCCCAGCAGTGAGACCTTTGACAAATTATAACCTGTGTGGGCCTCAGTTTTCTCATCCATAGGATGGGCACAGTAAGGACACCCAACTCGTTTCCGAGGAGCAACGGGGCCAGGGCCTCCGGGATGTGACAGAGTGAGAGCTGAAGGCGTGTTGCCCCATCGTCTCCTCATGTGCATCCACCTCCCTCCCTCCCCAGGCTGTACACACGGCAGGCCTGTGCCTCACTCCTGTCTGTAGACCCGGCGCCCAACAGGGAGCTGACACACAGAAGGTGCTCAGCAAATGTCTAACGAGGGAACGAAAGCATCGGTGGCTCTGCGGACAGGGCGCGGGTCAGGGGGGCTCGGTCTGAGCTCCGGTGTGAGAAAGAGACAGAGAGAATGTTCCAGCGCAGACACCGGGGTCTGGGGAGATGGGCTCCGGGGAAGGAAGGAGGGGGATCCCCATTCGATGCCCTGGACCACGTGCCCCTCAGGTGGACCAGTCAGCCCAGCGTTGCCCTCCGCGTGGGTCCCACACCGGCTGCTCTTCCTCCGGGTCCTCCAGACACCGTTCCCTCAGCGGCCGCGCCCCCAGCACTGGCCGGGCTGCCCGCGCGCTGGGACGCGGTGACGGGTCAGAGCAGAGCTGTCTGTCCTCGCCTGCGTCCGGCCTGGGATGGCCTCGGGGAGGGAGGGTGACAGCCACCCGGTGTGATGAGTCCCTGAGCCCCTCCGGGTGCGGCTCTCCTGAGCAGGGGCCCCGGGGAGAGGCCAGGGGTGCCTGGCCAGGGTGTGACATTTTCGGCCACGCGAGAGGGACAGTGGTGTCACCAGCCGACGGGTCTTCAAAGCCAGCATCTTGGCGCTGTCCTCGATTCATTTATCCCCACGTGACATCTTCTCTTCAGAGGCCGGGCCTCAAGGTTGGGCAGCCAAACTGCAGGCTCTGGCTGGGCCTTCAGCACCTCGGACAGCGGGCGCCTAGGCAGCCACACCCTTTTAAAGGGATCCCTTGCTCGGTGTGGGGCTGGGCTGCAGTGGGGTCGGAGCTCCTGCAGCCACCTGCCCGCCCTCCCTAACTCCCCCACCACCTTAGAGCCCCTCGGAGAAGTGCCCTCGCCCCCGAGAGCCCGTCTCCCCATCAGCCGTGCACCCCGGGGTGGCATGGGCACTGGCATTCCTGGTTTCCAAGGGCCTCCCAGCGGGACGAGCCCACCTTAGATGTGATTCACTCAGTCCCGAAGAGCTGAGCGCTGTCCCCCGGACCCTGGCGCCTTGGAGGGAGTCAGGACAGTGATTTCTCCGTTCAGACGGGAAGAGACCGATGCGAAGCATGTCCGCGCTTTGATATTTGGGTTGGAAACGGCCCCACCAGGGCAGCGTCCGTAGTAAAGGTTTGTTCACTAGTTGTGCTGTCTCAGAGAGGTGACCTTACCTGTCCAAGGTCATGCAGCTCAATGCAGAGGTCACATAGTGTGTATGTGGGAGAGCTTGGGTTTGAACCATTGGCTGTCAGACTCCAAGCACAGTTGTTGCCCCCCCCCCCCACCTCCTGCCCCAACCCCTACCCCGTCCCCCAAGGAGGAGAGGCTGAGCAGAGAGCCTCTCTGGGCTCAGACTGGGAAGGGCAAGGAAAGCCCCCTCCACCCCACCTCCCACCCGCTGCTGCCCCGCTCAGAGCTACCCCCTCTCCCCTCCCGCAGGTATCTCTGCTGGGCGGCTGGAGGGGGACCTGGGCCTGGTCCTCAGTGACTCAGCCTCTGAATCCAGGGGACAAGGAGCCTGATTTTAACTCACAGAAGGACAGGAATCATGGCCTTTCTTTACTTTCAAAAATTTAACATTTTTAGAGAGTGGGAGGGAGGAGAGAGAGAGAGAGAGAGAAAGAGAGCAACATCGATGTGAGAGAGACACATTGGTTGCCTCCCGCACATGCCTGCCCAGACTGGGGCCAAAGATGAACCTGCAACCCAGGTACATGCCCTTGACTGGGAATCGGACCTGTGACCCTTTGGGGGGAGGGGGGTTCCGATGCTCTAACCGCTGATCACACTGATCGTTTATTGTTGACCTTTTCCCAGTTCCAATGACCTCTCCGGGGCTATGTCTGTTAGCAACGTAAGAGCAACTACAACTGCTTTTAAATGCTCATTTAGGGAAATAATCAAGCCGTCTTTTGCTTTTAGATGTTTTTTAAATATATTTTATTGATTTTGTACAGAGAGGAAGGGAGAGAGATAAAAAGCTAGAAACATCAATGAGAGAGAGTCATCGATCAGCTGCCTCTTGCACACCCCCCACTGGGGATATGCCCGCAACCAAGGTACATGCCCTTGACCGGAATCGAACCTGGGTCCCTTCAGCCCCCACGTGGACGCTCTATCCATTGAGCCAAACCGGTCTCCGCTAGATGTTTTTAAAAATCTCAAACTCCTGTACCTTGGCAGCCAGCACTTCCACGGAGTGCACTGCCTCTGTGGCTGGGGCCAAGACACATGTTTTTCCCGAGGCCACTCGATGCCAAGTGTCTGCCAGCCGTCCCCGCCCCGTCTGAAGGACAGAGAAACGGGCAGAGCCCAGCCAGCACTGGCGGGCGTTAGACAGAAGGGGAAGGCCGCGTGTGGCATCGCCAGCTTCCTCCCCTGCCCCTCCACCTCGCTCCCAGGAAAACTGCCTGCTCAGGGCTGGTCTGGGGGGCGGGCGTGAGCAGCCCGTCGGGGGTGGGCGGGGAGGGGGGTGCGAGCAGGGCCCGGCTTCGGCAGGGATTCCCTCGCCCCGGGGTTTGCTGTAAAGGCTCTGACTGACCGGAGGGTGACAGGAAGGCCTGGGAGCCCCTTTGGCAGGGAAAACCACGGAACAAGTGCTTTTACCGCGGAAATGTGCGTCAGGGAGGAAGTTACTCCGTCAGTCCATCCGGCGGGCTCCTGAGCGGCCACGGGCGCTGTCGGGTCTCCGTTTCCTCATCTGTGACGAGGCGGCAGCTGGCCCCGGCGTGGTGTCCCTGCAGGGCGCTCGGTCACTGTCCGTGTCCCCCCTGCCCTCCAGGGCCCCCCTTCTCCACCCCCACCCACCCCGTGGGGCGGCCGCAGGGGGTGAGCCGTGGCCTCCTGGGCCGGGCTGAGGAGAGCCGCACGGTGGGGGGCGGGTGGGGGGGTGATGAGGTGAAGGGGGCCCGGGCTGGGAGAGGACACTCCCTGCAGGAGCAGAGTGAGCTGGGCCGTGAGGGTTTGGTCCCGGCGGGGCAGGTACATGGGCACCGTGTCCCCTGGGCCGCCGTGCGGAGAGGGACCTGGGCCGGCAGGTTAGAGACGCCAGGGAGGCTCCGGGAAAACTGGGGTGTAACTAACGGGGGTGTGACGGGGTGTAACTGGGTGTGCCTGGGCGGCAGGACAGCTCCCAGCCTCCTGCTGAGGGCGGCCTCTTCCCGGGCAGCTTGGCCAGAGAGCTGCTCAGTCCGCCCGCCTCGCTGTCCCCGGGCCCTGAGGACCGGCCTGGGCGCCTGTCCACGCGTCCTCACCTCCCGCAGCCCGGCACATGCCGGACACAGTGCAGCCAGGCACCTGGGCCGATGGGTGGGGAGGGCTGTGGAGGGGTGGGGAGGGGTGGTTGCAGGGCGGCTGGGATGGGTGGTGGGTAAATGGTGGGCAGGGGAGCGATTGGTGGGACTGAGGGAGTGGGTGGGTGAAAGGAAAGCAGAGATAGAGAGTGGGTGGGGGTGGCCTGAGGTGGGGTGGGTGAGTTGGGGGCAGGAGGGTGTGAGGGCGGTGGTGGGTGTGGTGGGTGGTGGGTGGTGGGGGCAGTGATAGGTGTAGTGGGTGTGGTGGGAGGTGGGTGGTGGGGGCAGGAGGATGGGTTGGGATTGGTGCATTAGTGGGTGACAGCAGGCTGGGAGTAGGGAAAAGGTGGCGAGTAGGAGGGTGGGTGGCAGGTGAAGGAGTGGCTGTTGGGGCTGCGGGTAGCGGTGTGTGTGGGAGCAGCTGGTGGTGTGTTAGGGGGGTGGTGGGAGGAGGGATGGGCGGTGGTGTGTGGTGTGCTGTGTGTGGAGCTGTGCCGGTGGGTTACAGGGCTGGGGCGATGCGGGTGGGAGGAGTGTGAGGGGAGCGGACACATTGGTGGCTTGGATATTGGTGGTGGATGTCCAGGTGCTGGTGGACGGGTGGGCTGGTGGGTGGGCAGGGGGCGTGAGGTGGTGTGGAAAGCTGGGTGTGCGGGCGGGTGGAGGGTGAGCTGGTGGGTGGGACGGGGTGGAGGCTGCACGTGGGCAGACAGCTGGGCCGGGGGTGTTGGAGGGCTGTGAGAGGCCAGTGGGTGGCGGGCAGTGAGCTGGGGGGCAGTGGGCAGGAGGGGCGCGGGGGGGGGCACTGTTAGCCTGACCCCCCTCCCCTCTCTCCGCAGGACACCAGCCACACGTGGGCGACTCCTGGCCGCGGAGCTCTGCCCACGAGGCCGCGGAGCTGAGCCGCCAGTGCTGGGTCCTGGGGCACTGGGTGTGACCGCGGCCCGCCGGCCAGACCCGCCACATCAGCACCAGCTCACAAGGCCGCGCGTCTGGCGCCTCCGAACCCTGGCCTGTGCGCTCCGAACCAGCCAGCCTGCACTGGGGACACCGGCCGGCCCTGCCGTCACTGCCCGGGTCTCTGCCCCAGCCGTGGGCTGCACAGGGCGCCTTCCGGACAGCGACCTCTCTCTCTTGCCACGGGAGAGCCCTGTGGGTACAGCCGGGTGCCAGGAAAAACCGGACATCGGCCCTTGGGAGCCTGGGGTCCCAGAGGCAGCTAGGCAGTTCAGGAGGTGCCCAGTGGCCCTACCTGTCGGGGGGCGGGGCATGGCACTGAGGGGGCACACAGCAGGCACACAGCAGGGCTGAATAAATGCTTGTTGAACCCGTTTCCTTGCTGTGTGTGGAGGCCAGTTGCTCTCTGGGCGTGGCTGCCCTTCATGGCTCCATCCTAGCCGCCCCCGAGGAGCCTGAGGCGGGAGCCTGCGTGCCCGGCCGGGGTCCGGCACGGGGTGGGGAAGGGAGCCTAGAGCCTGCTGGGTCTGGGGTCGGTCAGGCTGCAGGCTGCCTTGGACTCCAGAGGGTGGGTAGGGTGGGGTGTCAGGCAGATGGGAAAGGTGGGATGGGCAAGAGAAAGGGCCTCGCACCCAGATCCTCAGCCACGCTGACCCCCACGGGGACTCTCCCCTATTTCTAGAGCCTCCTTTACATCAAATGCCAGGGCTCCGATGCTGGGAAACAGACTTTCACTCTAAAGACAGGAGGCCTAAGGGTCACAGGGATGAGGAAACCGACCCAAGACCACAAAGCTAGCAAATGGCAGACTTGGGGCTTGAACCAGGACTTCTGACTCTGAGAGACCTTGTCCCTTCCCCAAGGATTTCTAGAGCTTTCTCTCAAGCAGACAATGTTCTTCACTCTTCCATAAACTCACCACCCATTTAATCATTCACCCAACCATTTACCCATCATCCAACCATCATCCATCCATTGTCCATCCATCTATCCAACACTTATCCATCCATTATCTGTCATCCATCCATCCATTATCTATCCATCATCCATCCATCCATCCATCATTTATCTGTCCATCATCCATCACTCATCCATCCATCATCCATCATTCATCCATCATCCATCCATCCATCCATCCATCCATCCATCCATCCTTTATCTGTCCATCATCCATCATCCATCCATTATCCATCATCCATCTATCCATCATTTATCCATCCATCATCCATCCATCATTTATTCCTCCATCATCTACCATCCATCATCCATCCATTAGTTACCATAATTCCCTGCATCAGACATTTATACATCATTCTTTCATGCATCACCCATCCTCATTATTCAACCATCCATCCATATATTCATCTGTCCAGTGATATAACCCATTGTTCCCTATTCTGGGCCAAGAACTGCAGGACGTACTGGAGTTAGGACATGGAACCATCCAGAGAGGGTATCTGCCTTGGCAGAGCTCACAGATGGGCAGGACAGATAACTAACGGACGATGATGGTTCGGTGTGTGAAGAGCTGCGGTGCCCAGGTCCAGCCCCTTCACTTGAGACCTCGGGCAACTTGCCTGACTTCTCTTGTGCCTCCTCCCCGTGGGCACAGAGATGGTCATTCCAACTACCTCTTACAGCTGCTCCGAGGGCCCACGAGCTGATGTCCATGACACGTTTTGGACAGAGCCTGGGCTTGGCCGGTGTTTGCTCTTCCCATGGGAAGGAAGGGGGCTGTGGGCGCCCGAGGCCGCACTTGCTGGGCGGGGGGCAGTGGAGAGAGGAGGCTGTGCTGGGACAATGGCACTGAAGCTAAAACATAAAGTTATCTAGACGTCAGGCAGGCATGCGTGTAGAGGGGAAGGCAGTTGGGAGCATCATAGGAACTTGAGAGCAGTCCATGGGCCATGGCAGGTGTGGGGAGAAAGGAGGACCGCAAGGTGGTGGTGACGCAGGCTGTGGAGGTGGGTGGGGCCAGGCCAGCCGGGCCAAAGCCCCTCAGGAAGCTTAGCTGAGTCCTGACAGCGGGTGCTTTCAGCAGGTGGGAGGCCCCCGAAGCCGAGGACGGAGAATAGAGTGGGGAGCTCGGCGTCCTCCTCCCCCTGGTTGAGGGGAGACAAGAGGGGTGGCCCTGGGGACGGACCAAGGGCAGACGCAGGAGCTAGTGAGCAGGGACAGATTAACGGGTTCGGGGTGGACTGAGGAAGGGGACACCTCCCGCTGGAGGTGTCTGCCCACTCATCCATTCATGCATTGATAAGAGTGCATCATTAACCCATCCTTCATTTGCTCAGCATTTCAAACCTACTATGTGGGGCAAGAGGTGGGTCTGGAGAGAGAGGAGGCCCAATCCCAAAGGCCTTGCCTGCCAGGACAGGAGCCTGGGCTTTGGCCTCTGGGTGAGGAACCCGTGGCTGCAAATGTGGGGCTGGGCGGCCGCCCCCCGGGCCCTGGCCCGCGCTGGCTGCCAGAGCTCCGTGCTCACTGAGCTCCTTCTGACGCCGGCAAGTGGCCCTCAGAGGCCCGGGACATGCCTTTAGGTGGCACGTGGGTAAAATTTTAATCTATTTTAATAGTCGTGTTTATGTAACTGTGTCTTAGGAAAAATGTATAACGCGCACATCCGTGCCTGAGTTCACAGATATTACTGCTTAGGATGAAACCAAAATAGGCATTTGAGTAAAAAGGAGGAGTCGGCTTAGAGAAAAACCTCATTAAATAAATAATTGTGCAAGTGTACGTGACTCTGCTATACGGACGGCTCCCCCGAGGGCCACTGCACCACCCCAGGCTCCACGTCCTTTCGTCGTTGCTGGGGCCTGCGGGCAGGGTGTGAGGACAGTCTGCAGAGCCTGCGGCAGGAAGGCCGCTGGCTGGATGGAAGGAAGCACTTCCAGGCAGGCTGGCGAGGACCCCGTGGGTCCCCACGGAGGGTGCCTGGGAGGCTCCCACATGCAGGGAGCACATGCCGTTCCGGGATGAGAGGAGGGAGATCCAGCTGGTCTGAAGGCAGGGGCGCCTGGGTGAGCACGGAGACCCTGCCTGGGGAAGCGAGGCCCCTGCTCCGGCCCCTGCTCAGTCCCATGCCCGTGTGCATGGCTGAATGGTGCTGGCTTCCTGTGTGCACGCCTTCCATCTGGACCCCCGTACACTGGCCTGACCCACAGCCCAGAGCGGTTCTCACGCTCTGCTCCGGGAACCTGCACCCAGAGTCCCTGTGGTCACGTGCCCCGGGCTTGAACACACACGCCAGCCTGGACACATCTGAGCGCAGGATGCCGCTCGGCATGCACACGTGTGCTAACGTGTGTCCTCGGCACTCATCATGCTGTGTGCCCCTGTTGGATCCACACACTTGGGTGCACGTGTGCCTGCACTGACCCGGCGCCCTGAAATGGGGCTCTGCCCTCTCATTTGCCCACATCGCCCCGTGTCCCCAGATCGGTCCCTCCCCAGCGGAGGCTGATGGGCAGCCCGTCCCAGCGGCACCGGCTGATGTCCCTCCGCGGCTGGCGGCTGTGATGAGCCGTCACCCCGCCGCCCCCACCGAAGCCGGCCGCCCGGCCCTTGGTAATGGAAACGTCAACTTGATTCATGGGCGTTCGTCAGCGGCGGCGGCCTGCGGACAGGCGTGCTGGGAGGCCCGTCCCTTGGGAAGGGCCGTGGCTGCGAGCGCTGACCCCTCGCTCAGGAGGAAGCAAGGGTGGAGGGAAGCATCTGGAGCTGCCAAGTCAATTCTGACGACAAAAATGTCATTTCAGATGGTGAGAAGCACTGCCAAGGTGAACCGAGGGGCCTGATTGGGACGGAGGTCGAGGAAGGAGGTAGCAAGGGGTGTGGGCAGAGTCAGCCTGTGCAAAGGCCCTGGGGTTGAGGGCAGCGCTGAGAAGCTCTCTGACAGGACAGGCTGCTTGGAGCTTGGGGCATGAGGTCTGCTGCTGAGGGGGCACTGCAGCCAGGGGGTGGGGACCTCGTGGATCACAACAAGGAGTGTGGCTTCACCTGGGGCCACGGGGCCATTGACAGGAGGGCTTTTTGTTTGTTCGTTTGTGTCCAGTACAATATTGTATTTTGAACCAAAAATACTTTAAAAAAAAAATGAACTGTATTAACTGAATCTCAAAAGTGAAGAGCAACACAGCAGAAGCTCAGATGGGGTGATAGTAACAGGGCTGTTAGGAGTGGGCGTGATCAGCTCTGCAGCCTGGGGCGGGGGTGGGGCAGAGCTGGGTGACCAGGGAGGGAGTGGAGCAGGTCCTGGGGGGCAGTTAGGGCCTGGAGGTGCTGTCATGGGGAAGGGAGGAGGAGCACAGTGTGGCCTGGAGATGAGAGGGGAGGGAGGAGCCTGGGTGCTAGGCCGGCCGGGCGTGGTCAGAGGCGCCTGCCAGGGCTCGGACGCTGTGCAGTGGGGACGCGGGGGGGCCGTGGGAATCAGGAAGAGATGCCCTCGAGTGGGTGAATCAGAGAAGCTCCTGCCCCCAAGCCACAGGAGGTGCGGCCCGAGCACACGGCTCCAGGCTGGGCTTCCACGCCATCGCCCCTTGGCCCTGGCTGTGGTGGAGCAAACCGCACGGCTGCTCCGTGGACGCCGGCGTGGGACTGAGGACAGACAGCAGGCGGGGAGTGTCGTTCTGAGGAAAACCAGTCCTGGCGTGGAATTCACCGTGTGGACAGACAGGAAAGCACAAGCCGACCTCGGCCCGCCCCCGCACGGGGTGGCAGCTGCCTCTCAGGCTGCATTTCATCCTGGGCTGAGGCTGCCTGAGCCTGGCCTTGGGGAGGCTGGTGGAGAGGCCGGCCAGGACGGGGGGTGGGGGGGGTGGGGTGGGGTGTGGGGGGGAGGGTGAGGGCTGGCACCGCAGAGTGGTGGGGGCTGGACTTGCTCCCGGCCGGTCAGCCCCGCCTCGGCTCCCGTCACCGTCATCAGCAAGCCGGTAGGGCACCTCGGAATGAGGCCTCTGCCAGCAGGATGTGCCCCTTCGGTGCCGCAGCTGCAGGGCACCGCGGGGAGGGCTCGTGTTTGGTGTTATTAGCTTTGTCGTTAGGACACAAATGTGGCTGCCACAGGCCGTCCCTCCCGCAGGGGCTGGGGGCCTGAGGTGGTGTCACCCGTGCCACACGTGTCTAGCCACGTGCCAGCTGCACGGCTCACGGGGACACGTGGCTCGTCGGGCACGGCCCCACCTGCCTCCTCCAGACCCCGCCTGAGCCTGTGGCCTGGCTCGATGCCGGGCTCGGGTGGCTGGGGCCTGACTCCCAGGGGCACAGTCCTCCCTGCTCTGGGCCCCACGGCGTCCCCTCATCCCCTCCTGCTCCCCATTCATTCCCTGCCTCGGTCTCAGGGGCAGGCTCAGGGGCATGTGGGCTGTGAGGCAGTGCCCGCAGGGAAGCAGTGGGTAAGGTGGTGGTCTGGGCCCAGGGCCCTCCGGGTTCTCCAGAGCCCTGACCACACAGATCACACAGCCAGCCCGGCCTGCGCAGGCGGAGCCCCAGGCTGTGGCTGCCCTTCACTCAGGCTGGATGGGGCGGAGCCTCAGGAAGGGACCCTCCTGGCCCCAGGAGGGATGGAGGGGAGGCCAGGCCTGGGGGGATGTGGCAGCAGTCACCTGTCAGGGCAGAAAGGGCTTGGCAGCTCTGCTCCTCTGAGCTCGGGGAGCCAGTGTGGGAACCGTCTAGAGACAGACAGGCAGAAGCAGGCCCTTCACACTGCTGGACAGAGAAAGCAGGCCCCCAGGGGAAGCGCTTGGGGAGAGGTTCCTCTGGAACCCCAGCCTGCTCTTCCTTGACCGCCTGTCCTGTAGCTGATCCACTCCCAGGAATCTGCGCCCAGGCTCTCGGGCACCGGGCCTGGGGCTGCAGCCTGGGGCTGACTCACAGGGTGCTGAAGGCTGGGGTGGGATGAAGGTGTGGAGGGGGAGGAGGAGGGTGGGGCCTGCCACCTCGAGTGTGTGCAGGTCACCCCACTGACCCGGCCTCTCTGGGGCTGGGGTCAGGGCGAGGGTCCAGGGCTGATCTTCCCCCCCTTACCCAGGGAGAGCTGAGGAGGGTGGAGCCACAGGCAGGGGCTACGCCCTCTGGGGCCAGGGGCCAGGGCAGGTGGGAGCCGGGTGGCTACACAGCACTTGTTTTTGTGGGGCACCCCCTGGGGGAGGGTTTGCTGGGGTAAGTTGAGCCAACATTTGAAGGTTAGGTTTCACATTAAAAGGAAATAAAGCACCTGAGTGTCTGGCTGCTCTCCACCACAAAGGCCGGGCGTCGCTGGGACACTGGTTCCAGCTGCCCTGGGGGCCAGGCCTCCCATCTGCTCTGCTGAGCGACGGGGACCGGCCAGGCACTGGCTGCTGAGCGAGACTCACTGTGGCTGAGGGGTGGGCGCCTCCCTCGGTCTCCCGCCCACAGGGAGGGTCATATACAGCCCCAGAGGGAGGGGGTGGCTCTCCCACGCCAGGTCCGGGCAGAGCAGGCCCCTAGGAGCTCAGAGGGGCAGGGGCGGAGCGGCTGCAGAGGCCCTGCGTCCTCGTCCTTGGGGTGGGATGGACAGAGGGAACCCCTCACCCGGCACAGGGAGCGAGGTGGGCTTCCTCAGGGCCTCCTGCCAGCCAGGCAATTGCCGGCACCCACACCGCATGCAGATGCCCACCTCGCACCCGAGTCTCCTCTCCACTCAAGCGCTGCCCTCCCCAATGCCGGGGCTGCCACAGGCCGGGCGTGGGGCCCGCGGTGGGAGGCCCAGAATCGGCTCTGGAGTGGCTCCGGCATCCGTGCCCAAGGCGACTCCCTGCAGAGGCTGCGGCTTCGCCGGCTTCACCGGGCTGTCCCGGGGTCTGGGCCGGGACCATCGTCTCAGAGCTGTGCCTCTGCGGGTCAGGCTCCTCGTCGCCAAGAGGAGGGCCCTGCAGTGCCCACCCGGTGCTGCTCCATGAGGCAGATGGGTGAGAGCCAGGCACGGGGCACCGCCCGCCGGACGTGTGGGCTTCTCACACAGCGCCAGGGCCAGGCACGGACACGCCGGATGTGTGGGCCCCTAGCACCACACACACAGGGGCTTCTCCTCACCCAGCGCCAGGACAAGGACCCCCACTCGCGGGGGGGCGGGGGGAACGGAGCTCAGAGAGGAGGGACATGCCCGCGCCCCCGGGCCAGCCTTCAGCAGGCTCTGGCTCAGTTCCCGGAGGCAGCCTGGACTACCTCTGACCCCAAGCCCAGTGTGGGTGCGTGTTCTTAATAGCATCTCTTATTGATTTTGCAAGAGAAAAAAATAGAAATTTATTTTAGAGCTAACGCCTGTCAGCCTTGCTTTCCTCCGAAATTGCATGGTGCACACAATTACTATAAACATCAGCTGGGACCCGGGGCGAGTGCGGGGTCTGGGCAATGTTCCCGGAATCTGACCCGTGCCGGTGCCCGAGGCTCCCGGGGAAGGCCTGGCCCGGTCTCAGGCGCCGAGTTGGACTGATCAGTCCCAGCGGCGTCGGCTCTCCGGGGAGCCGGGTCCAGAGGCTCCCGCGTCTGGGAGCTGAGCAGGGAGGTGGGGCTGGGAAGCCACAGAAAAGATGGATTTTCTTTAGGAGAAACAAGTCCTTATCTCCACACGGACCCCGCGCTGCGAGTGATAAGCCCATTTGCACAGCGGCCCGAGGAGGCCGGGCTCGGAGGGTCTGAGGCTCCCGGTTGCATAGGAACGCACTCAGTACAGTAATGCGGCCGGGCTGGGCGCCAGGAAAACAACGGATTAATATTGGGAACGAGAAATTACCCACCGCTGGGAAAGCAATTAGGTCCCCGATCCGAGCTCGTTACATCGATGGAAATAGATGTGCTCCCGGCTCCGCTCGGCGGGAAGCAAGGCACGTCTCCAGCTCGCTGGGGAGCCGCTGGAAGGGGGGAGCGCGGGGGCAATAAGAACCCCACTCCCGGCTCCGAGGGGGGCCGGGGACCAAGGAACCAGAGAGAGAAGCCTGCAGACTCCAGCTAGGCAGGGAGCTCCAGGAAGGTGGGCCTCTGGGGCTGAGATGGGGCCTGCCGGGTCCTCCGCTCCCTGCCTTTCAGCCTGAGGCGTCTGGAGGGGCCGCTGGCCCCTGGGTCTGAGTTGCCTGCCTGCCGGCCCTGGATGGGCAGCGCGAGTGCCTGGCATGCTTGGGCCTGGCCCTGCATGGTGGGTCCACTCCCTTCCTTTCCTCGGCAGAACACGTGCCCTTGGCCAGCCCCTTCTCAGCTCGGCGAGGGACAGAGCCTGCAGAAACAGTTCCTCTGAGAGATCGGCCACAAGTGAGGTGGCAGCAGTCCTGGCCGGACAGGAGGGTCTAGGGAAGAGTCCGCCCTCCCAGGCAGCTCTGCCAGCCCCGAAGGAGGCAGGGTGTGCCTGGGAGGGGCTGTGGTGGAGCCCCCGGCATGCCTGGAGGTGGTGTCTGAGGCCTGGCTCAGCTGGCTCCAGGCCCGATGGAGGCCTCCTCAGCCCGCCCCCCTGTCCCTGCCCAGCCAGACAGGCTCAGGGACCGGGAGAGGCTGAGTGGACGCTGCCCGCTGTGGGTCTTACAGGAGAGCAGAAGGCCCTGCCCCTGCAGCAGCCCTGCTTCCTCCGCCTGCCGCCCGTCTTTCCCGGGCCTCCACCCTGAGTCCCTTCTCGCCAGCGGCCCCCTCCACGCCAGCGCCGGGGCTGGGGTGGGCACTGAGGCCCGGGGGCGTGGTGCTGAGGGGGCGGAGGGAGCCCACGCGGGCCGAGGACCAGGGCCCTCCTCCATCAGCACCGCCGTCGTCTCGTTGTCTCCTCGCTCAGGCAGGTCTTGGGGCGTAAGGCTGTGGAGGGAGAGCACGGGGGGGGGGGGGGGGGTCAGGGTACAGCTCCCTCTGAGGGCTGCCCCTTGTGCTCAGGCTGGAATCTAACCTGCCTGTGTGTCCACCCAAGGCCCGTGGAGACCTGGGCCCTCCTGCAGCTCCCAGCGCCTCGAACCGGCACTCCTGCTCACTGACCCCCGACCTGGGCAGGCCGGCCACCGCTCCAGCCGCCACCCGCTGCTCCCTCTTCCCGGCCACCCCGTGCCGTTCAGGGTGCGGCTCAAACACCAGCTCCTCTGAGAATCCCTCGCCCTGTGTATCCTCCACGGCTCGCCAGGCCCAGGGCGACCCCTTCGATGACGTGCTTCTGCCCTCTGGCCTGGCCCTCTGCATGGGAGCCAGGCTCCCGGAGGGGAGGGGGCCTGAGGGCGGGCAGGCGCCAAAGGGATGTGATGCCGGCCACCCGTCCCGATGCAGCCCAGACTCCCGAGGGGCTTGGGCAGAGAACCACGCGGACCTGGGTCGACGATGCTCTGCTTCCTCTTGGCGTCGGTGACGATCTGGTTCTCGTTCAGCATCTGGACGTCCTGGTCCTCGGCGTGGCCGCTGCAGGGGGGGGGGGGGAGACGGAGCGTCAGGCTCGGGCCGGCCCGTCCTCAGCAGGCTGCGGGCTGCGGGCGCTCGCCCACCTGATGGCGGCGTGCTTCTCCTGGTGGCAGAGGTCCACGTCCTGGGTGAAGAGGATGGTGTGGTGGGGCACCGTGGGCTCGCACGTGGGCAGGATGCCCCGTACCAGGTGGCCCACCATGGCCAGGATCCCGTTGTACACGAGCAGGTCGTCCACCAGGAGCTGCACAGAACAGGAGGGCTGGAGGCACGGCCAGGGGGCCCCTCCCCACATGACAGGGCTAAGTGCGTGCTACAGCCCGCCGCCGTGTGCCCGGGGCAGGCCAGCCGCCAGCCGCCCGCGGCCGAGGAGCTGAGGCTCAGGGCTGACCCGCCTCAGCAGGAGGTAGCGCTGGGCAGCCTCGGGCCTGCTTTCCCCAACCAAGTCCCGCACAGAGCGCTCCCTAGATCAGTCTGACGGGAAGAGGGCAGGGGAGGGGAGGGGAGGGGAGAGGAGGGGAAAGGAGGGGAGGGGAGGGGAAGGGAGAGGAGGGGAAAGGAGGGGAGGGGAGGAGGGGGGAAGGGAAGGATGGGGAGGGGAGGGGAGGAAGGGGAGGGAAGGAGAGGGGAGGGGAGGGGAGGGGAAGGGTAGGGAGAGAAGGGGTGGGAAGGAGAAGGGAAGGGTGGGGAGAGGAGGGGAGGGGAGGAGGGGGGAAGGGAAGGATGGGGAGGGGAGGGGAGGAAGGGGAGGGAAGGAGAGGGGAGGGGAGGGGAGGGGAAGGGTAGGGAGAGAAGGGGTGGGAAGGAGAAGGGAAGGGTGGGGAGAGGAGGGGAGGGGAGGGCAGGAGAGGGGAGAAAAGCCGCTTTGTGTTTTCAGGGTGAGGGTTCCAGCCTGGGAAGAGGGTTCGTTCGCGGTTGGCTGGAGCCTCCCTGCGCGGGGGACTTGGCGTTGTGTCTAGGCTGCACAGAGAGGAGCCAACTGAACCGCATCACACGGCGACTGCCGGGGCCTAATCACCACCGAGCGCGATTCTAAAACCGCTAATGAGCACTCACGCCGAACTCCTTCACCCCTCGGTGGGGGGTTTTCGCGTAGTTCCACAGTTTGATCATCGACACGGTGGTAGGCAGGTCGAAAATCACATACACCCGGTTCACCTGTCGGGGAGAGAGCTAATTAACAGGCTGTTTGCAAACAGAGGCTCTGGGCTGGGCGGGCGCCTGGCTGCTGGGCCATGGCGAAGGGTTCCCACGCCTTCCATCTCCCGAAGCCCATCGGCAGGCAGGTCACGTGCGGCTCGTGAGGCCTGCTCTCCCGGGCTGGCGTGGCCCCGTGGAAACACCGCAGAGGATTGGGCACCCTGCCCCTGCCCGCGGGTCAGGCCAGAAAGAGTCTGGGGCAATGAGGCCGAGGCACAGGCCAGGACTGAGTGCAGGAGCACCGCCCGGCAATCGGCGCAGCCTCGGCCCATTGGTCCTTTCCCGGCTGTAAACGGAGAGCTCAGCGGACAGGCCGAGGCACGCTGGGGGATTCTCAGTACCAGCGTCTTTGAATCTCCGTGGGGAGTGGGTTGGGTGGCTCAGATCAGCAAAGTCAGCTGGTAAAGTGGCACCCGATCGCCTCCCCTCCTCCCTTCCCAACACTCTCAAGTACCAGGGGCTCCTTGGAAGAGGGAATGAAGCAACGCGCACCCAGCGGGCCCCGGGCCCCAGCTGCTTAGCCCCGTGCGGCCCTGTGCTCGCCTGTGGCCATCCTCTGAGTGGGAGTGACTGGCCACACTCAAGCTGGCAGCAGGCTGGGCTGCCCAGGGCCACGACCTTGTGGCCGGGTCTAAGGCTGATGTACCTCTGCACTCCCCTTAGTAATGGGGGTGGGGCTCGGGCACTGGCCTCCACTCAGGGGAAGCTGATGGACCCTTGATGGTGGGGAGGGGGGCAATTTGGGGGAAGGCCCTTTGGAAAAACCTCCTCCCCCAGAACTGAGAGAAAAATGTACCCCGAGGGCAATGTACCCCCTTATCCTCCTGCCCAAATCCACAGAGTGGAAAGGGGGACGTGTCAATAGTCACACGGGCACGCAGACACTGCCACACATGACTGCCTAGCCTCAGGCCCTGCGGCTGTCCCAGCTCCTGGCTGCCCTCCTCCCTCCCTGCCTCCCACCACCATCCAGGCCCCCGTGAGCAAAGCCCCCCCCACCCAGGCTCTCCGTCAGGCATTGGAGCAAAAAGCTCAGGAGGACCAACTGCAGGGTCTGTGGTGGGGGAAACTGAGTCAGTTGGCTGGAGATGACCAGGCAGCCTTGGTGCCAGAGAGAGGGCATGATTGGGGACAAGTGCCCGGTGCCATAAGGAGGGAGCAGAAAGAGTGAGTGTGGGGAGGAGGGAGCTGGGAGGAGGAGGCCAGAGAGCAGCGGAGGCAGAAGAGGAGCGGAGAAGGTTGCCCACAGGGAGCTGCACTGGGGCCCTGGCTTCAGAGTCCCATGTGGTCCTTCATCTCCTCGTGTCCCTTAAATGACCCCCCCACACCAGCAAAGAGAAAGAACTCCGGCCAGAAGAGCCGGCTCCTGCGGGTTCCCTGCATCCGGACTTGCTGCAGGTGAACTTGGCCTGAAGGAAGAGGTGTCCCGGGTCCAGGGATAGGAAGTCTCCTTCCACCCCGGGCCGAGAGCCTCGGGAACCCACCAGGCCGGGCAGGATGGGGGCCAGCCACATGTGCCGGCCATCACTGGTGTCGTTCACTTGGTCGATGAGCTTGTCCGGGGTCCGCACGTCCCCACACACGCCCTCCAGGGAGTTCACGCTGTCGGGGAAGGCGGCGATGTCTGAGGAGGCCTCTAAGCTGCCATAACGTGAGGAAATGTGCTTGGACCGGTGCCACCCGCGGCAGCCAGCCTCCAGCACACTGTGAGCTCGGGGACCGGCCTGGCAGGCAGAGCAGCCCGACAGACAGGTTCCCGGGAAACACCAGCGTGAGGGGAGCGGGCTGGGTGAGGATGGGAGCCCCGTTTCACCAACTGCTGGAGGAAGGAACAAGACACGTGGCTGCCGCTCCGGAGAGGAAAGGGCACATTGCGAAGGGTTTCTCTTGCAGGGCAATGGGTCACGGCTGGTTCTGCCTTGGGTTGTGAGGACCGTGCAAAGCTGACTGCTCCCTGATGGGCAGTGACTGACTGGGGGCCAGAGAACCTGCTTCCAGCTCTGGCTCTGCCCTTCTGACCCGAGGCCTTGGGCAAGTCACGGATGCCTCTGGGCTGGTTCCTCATCTATAAAGTGGGAATACTGATGCGAGGATCTCAAAGGACCCCGGATGTGAGCTCTCCCAGCAAAACCATGGAACCTAATGATCAAAACCAGCAAAATTATTCACCCCCGGTGAGGAGGATGGTGACACCAAGGGAAGGCGGAAAAGGATGCCACTGGAACCCAGGGACCCCAGGGATGCAAGGCAGCTTCTGGGGTTCGACCTGCCCTGGCAGGCCCCTCACTGTGGGGTGTCGGGTTCCCGGAGGGGTCAGGCCGGTTCCATCAGCGAGACACGGCAGCTCAGTATCAAGAGCGTGGTCTCTGGAATCAGACTCCCAGCTCCACCACGCACTGGCTGTGTTACTCAACCTCTCTGTGTCTCAGTTCCCCATCTGTAAAATGGGAATAACATCACAAGATTGTTGTGAGGGCACATGAGGTACCATGCGGCAAGCCCTGGCACAGTGCCTGGCACGGGGGAGCCCTCAGTAAATATTAACACTGGGTTTGGGCCTGGTAGGTAACAATAAGGACTGAGGGCTGAGATCAACTAGAAGGCCGTGCTTATGGGGGGAGGGTAGCAGACATTTGTGTCCAGCCCTCGTCACTGTTCATGACTGTGGCCTGGCACTGCCAATTTCTCAAAAGAAGCTAAAGATTGGGGTTTTCATATGAAAACTAATTTTTCAAAAATACTAATTTAAAACAGTTAAAAACTCATCGGGCAAATCCTTGTGTGGCATTCCGTGATCACAGGGTGCCAGGATCAATACATTAGGGACACACTGAGGTGAGCAGTGTGACAGGCCCCTCCCTACAGGCCTGTCAGAGCCTTTAGGACTCCGAGAGCCTGCAGCTGGAGGCCTCCCAATCCCGCCACGGACGCCGTGCGGTGGATCTCAGCTGCGGGGCCCGGCCAGGCACGGCCGGAGCTGCTCGCTGCTTTGCCCACCCCCACGGGTCGGCATCTGACTGTAAGCCCAGCCCACTGCATGTTTATTCCCAGGTCCGGTCCCTGCAGCGCCATTTCCCTCCACAGCCTTCTGCTCCTCCCCCCGGCTGCCCCTGCAGCGGGGCCCGGAAAGGATACTGTTTTCCGACAGCGGGATCTTCTCTCCCCGCTCGTCGTACAGCTCGAGGCCGGTGAGGCCGATGTAGTAGGGGTCGCCCCAGCTGGTCAGGAGCTGAAACTGGAAAATGACTGGGTGCGCCGTTAAGGAGAAACGGGCGTGGTTTCCTGAGATCAAAGGAAAATAATGGCACAGGGGGACAATGTTTGGTTTGTGCAGATGAACAAGAGCAAAAAATGAGTTTTTCTCTCACTGAAACTGAATCCTGGCAAACTGTATGTGGCATCTGATTCTCTTTCATTTGGACTGTGTGTGTGTGTGTGTGTGTGTGTGTGTGTGTGTGTGTGTGTGAGTGATATGTGTGTGATGTGTGTGTATGAGATATGTGTGTGTGATATGTGTGTGATGTGTGTGAAATGTGTGTGATGTGTGTGTGATGTGTGTGAGATGTGTGTGAGATATGTGTGATATGTGTGTGATGTGAGATGTGTGTGTAATGTGTGTGATGTGTGATATGTGTGTAATGTGTATGATATGTGTGTGATGTGTGTGTGTGATATGTGTGTGGTGTGTGTGTGATGTGTGATGTGTGCGTGTGTGTGTGTGTGTGTGTGTGTGTGTGTGAGAGAGAGAGAGAGAGAGAGAGAGAGAGAGAGAGAATTAAAACCTTTCTCCGGGCCCAGGAGATAAGGAGCAGGAGGGGACAGTGCTCTCCAGGGAGCTGGAAGGCTGGGGACATGTTTGTCCCAAACTCACTACATGGTGCTGAACAAACTGGCCAGGCCTCACACTGTCTCTGCCTCAGTTTCCCTGACGACAGAGTGCCAAGAAAAGAGAACTGTTCCCTCCCGCCCGTTCAAGCGTGCAGCTGCCCGGGGGAGGAGGGCAGGGAGCTTTGAGAGGACGGGCCACGGAAGGCATGCCCGCCCCTGGCGCAGGCCCAGGGTGGGCGGAGGGGGGAAGGATACAGCCACAGGGCATCAGCGGGGCCTCATAGTCCATGCTCGCCCGCTCCAGGCTTTTTGTGTCGAGCCTAAGGAAACAAGACAGAACACAAGCGCTCGAAATGCAGGTCAGCCATTCCCAGTCACAGCCTCTGGAGACGGATGGTGGTAGCCTTCCGGAATGGGGGGGGGGGGGGGGGGAGGGCGCAGCGAAGCTCCTGCTCGCATGGAGCTCCCGTTCTACTGGGGAGCCAGCACGGGCACCGACCTGACTGACGTGGACTCCTCTATGCCTTAGACTGCCCAAGTGCTGGTACTCACATCCTGGGTGAATGAGGAGAGCGGAGCTCCAGGCAGTGAGACCTCCTTCCTGCTCAGGCCCCACAGCTGGCAAGAGGCAGAACTGGGCTGTGACCGAGGCTGTCCAGCTCCAGAGTTCTCTTAACCCCCCACCGCCTACCCCTGTGCCGAGAACTCAGCGAGGCACCCGACGGGCCCTGGGCAGGAAGGCGGTGACTGAGCTAAGGAGGAAGCCGTGGGAAGAGTGAGAAGGGGCTGGGGGGGTGCTGTTTGCCACAGGAAGCAGCTGGGAGCGGGGGGGGGGGTGGTGGGATGCAGTGGAGAGTGGGGTCAGGGCGGGGAGAGGAGGCCAGAAGGTGGGCTTCTTGAGCCTGAGCAAGTGGCTTCACTAGCTGGGCCTCAGTTCCCACACCTGTAAAATGGGCAGAATCGTCCCTACCCGAATGAATGTGAAGCAGGAGGCACAGAGCAGGTGCTCTGGAGGGACAGCCCTCTCCTCCGCCATGCTCCTCCCACGGGGCCCTCTCCCTGGTCTCAGCCAGTGCGCCCCGCCCGGCCTGGCTTCCCTCCATTCCAAGGGCAATGTTATTACGACTGTTCCCAGTGACTGGCCCAGGAGGTGGTCCCAGCCACCGTGGAGAGAAACTCAATTTGTTTGGAGAACCTGGCCCGGCATCGGAACATCAGGGGGTTTGAGTGAGTGGCCTTAACGTGGCATTTACAAACGGCTATGAAGTTAATGCAGCTGAGAACGGGGCCAAGAAATCCCAGGGAATCCATGAAACAGGAGGCACTGTTTCCTCTGAATCTAAGTCAGGAGCTGAGAGGCCGGGGAGGAAGGCCCTCCCTGAACCAGCCAGCGCATTCTGCAGCCGGGAGGCTGATGCTCTTTTCCCAGCTGGAAGCCTGAGGAGCATTTAAAAGCTCCAGCATCCCGGCCTGTGAGAAACCCAAACACCAGACCAGGTGGGTGCGTCCCACAGGCTGTGGGAGAGGCCTGGCCGAGCTTTAGAAACAGCCAAGCTGAAAGCAATGCGTTTGATCACCATTTCCAACTGCTGCAGGCCGACACTTCAGAGTGGCAGAGCCTGAGTGGCGGGCGGAAGGGGGTGAGCGGCGGGCGCAGGGGGTGATGGGCGGGCTCAGGGGGTGAGCAGCCGGTGGAGGGAGGTGAGCAGCGGGCGGAGGGGGGTGCGCGGCAGGCTGAGGGGGGTGAGCGGTGGGCGGAGGGGGGTGCGCGGCGCTCCTCACCTCCGGGCCGGCTGCGGCAGCAGCCGAGCCTGCAGGTAGTCCACAAAGAGGATTTCTTGAGCAAAATCAAAGTGGCAGTTGCCGGGCCCCTTCCGGATGAGAAAGCCCTCGGGCGGGGAGACGCTCAGGCCGTCCAGGGAGACGTGGGCGATCTTGGCCTGGAGCACAAAGGAGGCCGTGCTGCAGGGGCCGGCGAGGGGCAGCGTGTGCCTCGCCCCCAGCTGCTGCTGGAGCTGTGTGTGACTCAGCCCCGGCCAGAGACCTGCCTTCCAGGCCAGTCCACTCTCCAGTGCATCCCCTATGTGCCCGCTGTGCTGGGCGCTGGGCAGGCAGGGGACGTCACCGTGGCCTGAGGTGGTACAAGGTGGTCAAGGGCATGGACTCAGGTGCACCTCGATGTCCTTATCTGTTAAATGGGCTCAGTAATGAGTTCACTTATGTAAAGTATCCAGGACAGGACACGCCTGGCACATACACACCGCACTGCTCCTTCCATCAGCTCTGGCACACACCTCCCCACGGGCCCCTCGCTGTCCTAGGCCAGTGTCCTTGGTGGTTTGTGGGTCCGCTTTGGTGGCAGAGCCCCCAGCTGGACCATCTCTCTCTCTGCGCACAGCAGGTGCTTACTAAGCGCCTGCGGAACCCATTGGATTTGGGCCACAGGCTCCCCCTGTTCCAGGCCAGATGTTGCCAGCCAGGTGGCCGCGACCTAGCAGTAACCCTCAAAGCCCCAATGGCGGGTGTGAGGGGCTCAGCTCTGAGGGAGCAGAGGGGATGATAAGCCAGCACCGCCCTCCAGCCACACGTTTTGGCATCAGGCTCCACGGCACCTCACCCCACCTTCATGGTTAGCTATTGGGACCAGCTGCTGACCAAACTGGTGGAACTTTACCGGGAGCTCCGGAGGACGCTGCGGGCCCCTCGCGCAGAGGGGACGCCTGGCTCCTGGAGCCCTTTGTCCGTCAGCGTGAGGGAGCCCCGTGTACAGTCGGTTAGTCACAGGCACATAAACCTGAGAAGGCAGGGTGACAGCTTTGGCCGGATCTGAGGGCCCAAAAGCTGTCCCCTTGTCCCCTCTGCTTCCTTCAAACCTAATTCCCACCTGCCCCAGGCGGGACCTGGGCCCTGGCCTGCAAACTGAGCACTCGCACCCCTGCCTGGGCTGGTTCAGCCTGAGAGCACGGGAGCAGCCAGCACCAGTCCTGGGTTAGCTGGCGCCTCGAGAGAGGAGGCCTGTCTTCTGCTGGGCTTGGCGCTTGCAAAGCCTGGCACTGCCAGGTGTGCCCGTGGAGAAGGCCCCCGAAAGCGAAGCTGGCAAGAGAGCCAAGCAGAGGCCCAGTCGTCCCTGTCCTCTTCCGGGGCCACCATCTCCTCCAGGAAGCGTCTCTGGCTGCCCCAGGCCACCGGTGTTCCCTGGCGGGTGGTGGTGGGGAGGGGTGGTGGAAGTCACCTCATCTTAGCTAAGGACACTAGAGTTCAGAGGGGCTAAGCATCTGCCCAAGGACCGGAGTGATCGAAGCTTCGGCACCAGGAGCCCAGGCCTGGCTCTAACCCCCGCCAATGGCCCACAGCCAGGTGCCCTGGGGGTAGCTATCCAATTGGTTTGGGGGGGGGGCACAATTTCTTTTTTCCTTTTTAAAAAAGGGGCGTGCACTGTGCTCAGAACCCCGGATGAGCGACTGGACTTTCTGAACCTCATTTCCTGACGGACGAGGGAACAGACCTGCCTCCAGCGCCGGGGCGAGCGGCCAATGGCATGAGGAGTTCCTGAGAAGCCCTTACCAGGGCCTGCCCACAATGCCCGGGGACAGGGCACACTGACCACCCCCGAGGGCTGGGCCCGAGGCCCCCCGATCCCCCAGGACAGACTAGGCGCCAGTCCCCCGAGTCCGCCAGGCTCCTCAGGCTGCCTCTGCCGTTTGCAGGAGGAAACCACGGCCTGCACTCCCGGCTGAAACCCCCACGGCCTTTGGAAAGTTCTGGAGGATTTATGCTCCTCTCCGGCAGCCAGCCAGCCATTCATCAAGGCGCCGTTGCCGTGACGGCGGCTGAGCGGCCCCTGCCCCCTTACCCCGCGGTAGGTGTCCTCGGGAGATTTATTGTAGTTCCAGAAGCGCAGGCCCGCGATGCTCTCCGCTCTGTCGAAGCGGATCGTGACCACGTGGTCCAGCCCCGGCGAGAAGGGGATCAGCCACATGTGCTCATCCTCCATCGTGATGTTGGCTCCGTCAATTAACCTGCACGCGGCAGAGGGCGCGGTGAGGGGGGCGGTGGCCAGCGCGGGGTCACACCCCCTCACCGCCTCTGCACTCCTGCCTGCCGGAGCCTGGCTGGCCGGAGAGGATTCAGGGACGTGGGTCTCATTAACCAACAGCGAGGGGCGCCCTCCCCACTGTGAACTGAGACAAAAGAGAACAGGAAGAAAGTAACGGTGTGTGCCATTTAAGGTGCAGTGAAGCCATCATCCGAGTTTCTTAAAAGGGGGCAGATGTGCCATTTTCCAGGCCCCTCGAACCAGCGGTCCCATTTCTAGGTTTCTCCCGGGGAACATGCAGTCCACCTGCTGGAACGGCCGTCTGCACAGGACATTCCTGAGAGGCCCACTGTTTACACTAGAAAAGAGAGCTGGGCCGCAGAGCAGGGCGGGAGGGTAAGTAAACCTGTTTGGTTGTCCAGTGCCCACCCCGGGGGTGGTGGTGGGGGTGCAGCCACAGGGGAGAGGCGGGCTGCGGGCAGCAGGGCCCTGCGCTGACTGCTGGGAAGTGAGGACCAGGACCGGGAGAGACTGCGGGAAGGGGGGAGGGGACCGTTTCCCCTGTGAAGGCTGTATGGTTGAAAGAGTCTGTCCCTTCTTTGTTGTGCTGGGAGGGACACGGGAGCCCAGCGTGAACCTGGCAGCTCCAGGGTGGGACAAGCATGGGAGCAGGTGTCTCGGGGGAGCTGTAACCCCGCCGCATGGGCTTCTCGGGGAGCCGTATGGGCATCTCGGGGAGCCGCTGCTCTGAGCTTGTCATCTTGCTCAGTTGCTCCGTCCGGGCCAGTTTCTGCTTCTCCTGCTCCAACATCCTGCCTCACCTTCCCTCAGCTCTGCCTGTGTTTGTCCCAAGACTGTCCTGCCCGACTTCCCTGGACACCAGGCCCCGCCCTCCCCCTGTGGTTCTGCCACGGCTGGCACTGCCGCCGAGAGGCCTGGGCACAGGGCCCTTCCTCACTCTCCAGTGACTTTGAAGCTCTGTCCTGTCCTGGGCTGTACTGTATTGTCTTTTCCTCGCCTGAGCACATGCTTCCTGATTTTTCAGAGGAAGGGGAAGGAGGAGAGAGAAGCATCAATCCACTACCTTCCCACCAAGAACCAAACCTGCAACCTAGGGATGTGCCCTGCCAGGGCACGGAACCCACAAGCTTCCGGTGTGTGAGACGATGTTTCAATCAACTGAGCCACCCAGCCAGGGCTGTTTCCTATTCTTTAAAATAAACTTTTATTCTTTTCCTTTTCTACATTTAAAAATTTTAGATTTGGAATGAGTCTCATAGTCGAAGCGTTCACCCAAGGAGGTAATGTTCTTTGCTTTTTCTCTAAAAGGCGGTTATTAAATTGATGGATGATGTGTCTTACAATGGCTGGCATCTTAAACTGGGGAAATTCAGCGAGTTAACAGTGGGGGGTGTGGAGTCAAGCTGACTGAGGACTACACCAGAGAACCTTCTATTAATATTTCCTTCCCAAAGCAATTCCCTCTCTGTCCTAGGCCTGTGGCTGCCTCCAGAGCAAGACTGCTGTCCAGTTCTGAGAGGAGAGAGAACTGCTGACACGTTCACAACTGATGGGTGTGGGAGGGCCGTAGACACCCAAGGATACCCACTGGCCCTTCCCAGCTCCGCACACCAAACAGCCTTGAATCAATGACCAACCCAGTAGCCGTGGACATCCCTGAAGGCCATGTTATGGTCTCTAAACACCGTTTCCCACTAAAGGAGCCAGGGCTTTGTGGACAAGTGGCTGAGACCATATCTGGGACAAGAAATGTACAAGAAGAGCACACCTGAAACTTACATCATAAAAGAATTTTTAAAAAGAAATATATAAAATGAGCCTGGAATGACCCGTTAGGTCAGAAAGCAGGGAAGTTGCCAGAGACCATTGTTTTAAAAAGGATCCAGAAGCCCAGCCGGCATGTCTCAGTGCTTGAGCATCCACCTATGAACCAGGAGATCACGGATCAATTTCCTGTCAGGGCACATGCCCGGGTTGCAGGCTCAATCTCTAGTGTGGGGCGTGCAGGAGGCAGCCGATCAATGAATCTTTCTATCATTGATGTTTCTCTCTCTCTCTCTCTCTCTCTCTCTCTCTCTCTCTCTCTCTCTCTCTTTATCTGTCTATCTATCTATCTATCTATCTATCTCTCTCCCCCCTTCATTTCTGACATCAATAACATATTTAAAAAAAGAAATAAAATAAAAAGGATCCAGGAGCTGCCAATGTCTAAGACGGGGGTGGTCTGGCCCTGTCATGGCATCAGGATGAGTTAGTTAAATGTTTGACCGCAGATAGCAGGCTAATTTTTATGTTGATAATTTTCTATGGCCCGCAAATGACGTTATAAATATCCAAATGGCCCCAGGTCTAAGAGCATCCAGTCGAGCATCAGTAGGATAAAAACTACAACAGACTGAAACCCTTCCAGAGCAGGACATTTAAATCTATGATTATGATAACCAAAATAACCAAATGTGCCCTGGACAATGTGGTTCAATGGTTAGAGGGTTGGCCTGAGCACCAAAGGCTCAGGTTCGATTCCAGGTCAAGGACATGTACCTGGGTTGCAGGTTCGATCCCAGACCCCAGTCTAAGAGTGTGGGGGAGGCAACCAATCAATGTGTCTCTCTCACATCAATGTCTCTCTCTCTCTCTTCCTTCCTCCCTCCATTTCTCCCTTCTACTCCTTCTAAAAATCAATGGAGAAATATCCTTGAGTGAGGATTGACAAAAAATAAATAAGAACAAATAACCAAATATATTAAAGGATGCTAGAGAAGTAACTTGTTTTTTTTTTTTTTAAACTAAGAAATAAAAGGAAGGAATCAAACATTTAGACTGCCTTTCCTGTTTGACTTATACCTCAGAGTAAACAAATAATTGAGGGAAAATATTGATGAAAAAAGAATGATTGCATCAGTGTATCACCAGTTTGCAACCCTAATAAATTAATGGACCAAACCACTGAGCTGTGGCCGCCAACCGCTGAAGGGAATAAACGACATCCACACCCAACCCTCCAACCTCCGACTGACCAGGCCTCTGGATCTAAAGGACGTTTTACAGGAAACACGGGGCCAGGCAGGGGTGCGGCGGTGCCCTCCGCCAGGTCCCTGTCCTATAAGGAAGCCAGGCAGGGAGGACAGGGTCGGTCAGTGCTTCAGTGCATGGGCATTGCTCCCCCACACCTGCACCTGATCATGACTCGGCTACTCGGCTGGCCTGAGTGACCTTCGGCCAGTTTTTAACCCCTCTCTCCCTCAGTTCCCAGGGGTACCTGTCATATTAGTAATGGATGGATATCTGTAACCTGCTTAGCCCCTGGCATTTCACAGTGGCTAAAAAACATGGCAACTATAATTTCAGTAATTACTTCTATTGTTATTGAAGAGGCTAAGAAACTTACTAGCTGGCAAGGGGCAGAGCCAGGATTTGAACTCTCATCCCTCTGACTCCTGGATTCCTCTGTTCACAGGGCCAGACAGGGCGGCTGCCCTGAGGGGACAGTGCTCCTGGTGGGTTATGGGCCCCATGGATCAAGGCTGTATTTCAGGCTCTCCTCTGACTGGTAGACCCAACTGGCTTATGAGACCTGACAGTGAGAGGAGAGTGCGGGGACTTCCTCGGCAGCCACCTCCAGTCTCAGAAGGGACAGCTTTCCCCTGAGAGGCGAGGTTGCTCATGAGGAAAGGCAGGGCCATCCCTGCAAAAGCTCCCTGAGCAGCCACTGTGCTCGGGGCTGGAGCTAAGCCTGGTGGAGAGAACAAAGCACAGCTCTGTCTGGAAGCAGGAGAGCCTGGCTTCGAACCCAGCCTGTGCTCCAGCTGTGCGGTCCGGGGGGCGCCCTCCCTTTCTGAGCCTGGGTTCTTGAACTCTAAGACAAGGTGACCACAGACCTTGGGGTGGCTGGAGGTTGCTATCTGACGTTTGAATCTCAAGTCTAGGATGCAGGACAGGCCCTGGTCCTGCTGCCATGAGTAAGCTTCATGCAGACACCTACTTGTCCAGGGTTCGGGAGTCATCTGTGTACTCCGGGAGGTCATTGAGGTCCCTGGGGCAGGCGGAGATCTGGTGCAGGCTGATGGGCAAGGCCTGGCCATCCTTGCCCACCACTTCTAAGCCCGTGAGGCCCAGGTAGTGCAGGTCCCCCCAGGAGGCAGTGAAATTCAGCTGGAGGCCTGCAACAGGAAGGAAAGGTACATGAGAGGAAAGGAATGGTCTTTAGCGTCTGATGGGCCAACTGGGAAACCCAGACACAAAACCCTGCCCCTTTCCTCAGGAGGCCTGGGGCAGGGACACTGCTGATTTGCATTTGCTGGTGAATGGGCCGGTGCTATTTAAACCTGTGCAGTCTGGGTCCTTTCTCTACCCCTCAATCAAGTCCCCCCACTTGACGTTTAACAGCCTGGAGTGACTTCCCATGATGCTTGGCCAACAGGCTTGCCAACCTGGCTTCTATTTCTCTAACCTCCTCTTGCACTAGGGGTTCCTGGCCCCACTAAGATGGCATCCTGTCCCTTTACTCCTCTCTCCCGTCAGGGCCACTGCTCATGCTGCTCTCTCTGGAACGCACATCCCAGCTCGCCCTTCCTTTGCCTGGAAGAGGCTCTGTGAAGCCATCAGATTGGGGACTGCTCGCCTGCCGGAGCTCACATCCATGCACCACATTCATTTTCCTTTGATGTGCCCAACAGTATTTAGATACAAGGAAATTAAATTTGTTATTTCTCATCCGTGTTTCAACTTTCTCAGCTCCTTTCCTATACATCACTTCTGACCTTTGCAAAATGTCCAAAATGCCTGTCATCTGCAGGTTTGTAAATTGTACACCCCTTTTCAAAAATATTAACAGGAGCCTGGCCAGTGGCTCAATGGTTAGAGCATCGGCCCAAACACTGAAGGGTCTAGAGTTCGATTCCCAATCAAGGGCACATATCTTGGTTGCAGATTCTCTCCCTGACACTGGTCTGGGTGAGTGTGGGAGGCAACCAGTTGATGTGTTTCTCTCACATCAATGTTTCTTTCTTTCTCCCCCTCTTCTTCCCTTCCACACTCTCTGAAAAGCAATGGAAAAAATATCCTCATGTGAGGATTAACAACAACAAAAACATGAACAGGACTGGCTGTATGTACCAAGCCAGTATGCACTGGCTGGTCCAGGGGGTCAGGATTGTGGCAAGCGTGTGGGAAAGCCAAAGGCTCAGAGGCGGGAGACAGACATCAGGGCCCCGAGCGTGCAGAGGGGGCTGGCCAAGAGGCTCTCCTGCCTCCGAGGTTGCACTTTCCTGCAGCAAAAAGGCCTCGGAGCCCACTTCAGGCTCCCAATGGCACTGAGATCACGGTTCTGAGAAAGGTCAGGCGCTGGCTCAGTGGGAAGGACATTTACAGACGCATCTTTGGGGAAATCACCAGATGGGGAACAGAGGCCGCCCCTTCACTCTTCTCATCACTGCACTCCGACCGCCTCTGGAGCAGTGCGGGTGGCTGGCCTCAGCACGGGCTCCAGGGACGCCCTGAGCCAGGCCGGGCCGTGCGTGGTTTCCATCTCACACCTCCCTCCCCGCGGGGAGCCAGTGATTGGGTAAAGATGTTTGGGCATGTGATCCATGCCGGGCCGAGGAGAGTAATTCTGGGAGTGCTTACCTCCGACACCCAGAGCTGAGTCCCCCCACTTATGGCTACCCTTGGCCTTGTCCCTCCCCAGGCAGCCCATGTCCAGTGACATGTCGGTTTAAGCATGTAAGGCCTTGTCCCCTCACTCAGCTCAGGACAATGCAGGGCTGCCACAGCTCAAGCTCCCTGAGGAGCGGGCAGAGGCCTCCATGTGAGTACGAGGCCCAGCTTCTCCCTCTGCCCCGTCCTGCTTCCTGTCCTCCCCAGGAACATGCTCCAGTCACCTCCTCCCCAGAGTATGCTTCCTGGAAACCCAGTTGCAGTCCACAGACAGGGATGGAGAGGGAGGGCACGCTGAGCAGAGGGCACAGCTTGGGTAGGGGAAGAACAGGGGTCAGAGACGGGTGTTGGGAGGAGGACCGGCTGAACCTAGATGTCCAGCTTTGTTCTAGAGATGACGGGGGAGGCGGCAGAGGGAGTGTGACAGACGTTAACTGGAAGGGATGAGTGCTCAGGGAGCAAGAAAGAGCAGGTGTGATGCAAGAAGCAGGTGAGCCATGAGTCTCATTAACAGGGACCAGGAGGGAGGCGCGCGGAGTCAGCAGCCACCTCTGGCCTGAAGATCCAGGATGCAGGCAGAGGGCTGGCCTGCGCGTGCATGGAGGAGGAGGGTGGCTGCAGGGTCACATGGGAAAAAGATGAGAGAAAAGACAGTGAAGCCCAGATGGGATTTGCTCAGAGGCCACCAACTGGCAGCCAGCTGGCCGATACACATGTGTTGTGTTTGGCTCATTAGTTGTTTGAAAATATTATAAAATTAGTCACCAACGTTTAAGAAACTGAAGATTTCACATAAAAATCCAAATTTCTGACTTCTCAGAAGAACTGGCTGCTGCCCACCGGGCGCCGGGAGCAAGCAGGTGCCTTTGCCCCCGCTGGTTTCAGCCCGCTGGCCGCACAGCCCACATCTGCGCAGACCTGTCCCAGGGACCAGGGCGCCGACCCCCGAAGGCCCCCCTCCCCTGACACTGCCCAGGACAGGGTACTCACAGATCCCGTGGTAGACGCCCGGGTCCGGGGTGGTGACTTCGGACATAGGGGCACTGGGTGGCAGCTCCACTTCCGGGACCTACACCCCGGTTAGGGGAGAAGCAGAGGCAAGGGGTGACCCACAGGGCTGGCTGGCAATGTGTCCAGCTGCTGCTGCCCACCTCATGCCCCCAGGAAATCCCTGTGTCCTTTTTGTGTTTTCTGTCTCGGTGGAGGCTCCTGACTGGTAACATGAACAGGCCCAGGAACCCTCTAAGTCCTGCCAGAAGCTCTGAGTTTGGGTGATCGTGGTGTTCCAGCACCAAGGGCCACCTGAGGAGCGCCAGAACCCGCCCCTAGCAACAGCCCCTCAGGCCCCGTCTGGCCACTAGGAGGAGGGTGGGGAAGACCTGTGAGGAGCACCCCTGACCCAGCCAGCCTTGGGCCACCAGGGAAGTCACCGCCCTGGTGCCCATGTGCCTTCTCTTGTCCTCCCTGGCACCCTGACTCCTCCTAGGATGACCCCTGGGGATGCACTGACCTTAACACTCTCTAGGGTGTGACCCAGATGTTGATCCCCCCCCCAATGAGCTCAGGTTTTCCTCTAAGACGAGAGCGTCCCTCCCTGCCCCTCATGGCTGGGTTTCCACGCTGGGAAACCACTGGGCACACGAAAGGCCTCAAGGTCAATTTCCAGCTGGACCCACGGACCACATCCGGACAGCAGATGTGCTTCCTGGCCCACGAAGGTTTGAAGGCATTTTGGATCTCTTGCTAACATTTTTAAATTGGGATCGTTTTACATTAAAGTCCAGATATCTGGCTTCATTTGAAAACATCAGAACAAGCGTCGCCACGAGCTGGCAGTCTTGTCTGGCGGAGCGGCAGCGGCCTCCCTTCGAGGTGGAGGCTCACGCCCTGAACACCAGGGCGCCGACAGACCGTGCGCCAGCCCGCTGAGTGGTCATGCCCTGCGGCGGCCGGAGCCGTGCTCTGCCCCTGGGCATTCCCCTCCCCCCGCCCGACTGCGGGGCCTGGAGGACAGCCTGGACCTGGGTGTCTTCCCTCCAGTGCCGCTCTTCACTTGGCCTGGCCCTGGCCCTGAAGGTCATCTTTCATTAAAAAATGGTCACTGTTAAAAGCAGACTTTGGAGTCCTGTGTTGAAGCTCTAACTTTGTCACTCCTGCATGACCCTGAGCCGGGCTGAACCTTGGTCTCCACGCCAGCGGTGTCAGCTCACAATTCGCAAACGAGAAACAATCGCCGGATTGTCATTATTTTAATTCTAGGTCTGCCTATTGAAGGCATTTTCAGTCCTCCCATCAAAAACAACCGAGAGATCAAAACGCAACCTCGAGCAGGAAGTTCCCGAAGACCTTGGATGACAGAGGGGACACGGCATGGATTTCTCCCAGCTTTGATTAAAATCTGAATACTTCCTTTACTTTGGTGGAAAAAATAAATAAAATAAAATAAAAATCATTAGAGAATGAAAGATGACACCCAGGACCGAAGACGAAGTGGAGAAATGGGAAATGTCAAAACGGCAGCACCAGCTGCGCAGAGAGATCCATCTTCATTCTCGCGCCGGAAACCTCTCCGGTGCCCGCCTGCCCGCCCGCCCCCCACCCGCCCCCGCCGTCCCACCTGGGCCCACAGGCCGGCCTGGGTGTAGGGCCGCTCCTCCGAGTTGCCGTCCGCGGTGCTGGGCCTCCTCAGGGGCTCCTCGCACGGCAGGCTGCACGGGGGCCCCGTGTCCACGTCGAACGTCTCATCCGAGCGGAATATGGCCTCGAGGATGTCGTCGTCGGTTGTGAATAAGATTGTGTCTCCAAAGTGCTCTGGGGCTGAAGGGTTAGCAGGAAGACAAGGGTCAACGCTCCCAAATCCCACTGCGCTGTGGGGTCAGGGCCCAGACCCATCAGCTCTGAGCTATAAACCCCGGGCCACGGACAGTTCTCCATTCTTCACGTCGGCAAATGGATCGATGTTCCGTGAGAACCACGCAGGCCACCGAGCTAACAAAGGGACCTATCTGAGGAGAGTCACAGACACCACGCGTGGGTGGGCACCAGAGCAGATGCTGTGGGTGCTCACGGATCCCCGCTGATCCCCCCGGGGGGAGGGCCCGAGTTCCGCTGGCTGGAAGGACATGGGCGTCAGGCCCCAGCGGGGAGCCTGCAGGGCTCCAACCCCCACCGCCTGCCCCAGGCAGCACAGACCCTGCAGTGCATGCTCCAGGCTGCCCTCGGTCAGGCTGCAGTGGCTTCCCCCGAAACCACTTGCTCAGCTCCCCCTCCACGTCCTCACCCTTCCCTGCACTGGGTTCTCCTGAGAGGCTCCCTCAGTCAGCGCCTCTCAGGAGGGTCCCCCTTTCGGGCTCAGTCCCGTCCCCAGCCTAGGAGTTTAATGAGGTCAGCGCTTGCAAAGGCGGCGAGCGGGCCAGGCCTAGGAGGGGAGAGACCCGTCACCGCTGACAGCCGGTGGGTTTGGTTTTCCCTCAGGCCTCAGCGAGCAGCAGGTAGGGCTTTGGAACATCCTTACAGACATACTGTACCTCCCGTCAGGGTCCCGGAGGCCTTGGCGATTTCTCCGTTAAAGATGCACTGTGCGTCTAACAGGATCTCGACGTCCCTCACGCCACGGAAGGAGTGTATCCGCGATTTGTTGTAATTCCAAATCCTGATCAGGGCGACGTGGCAAGGGTGCGAGAAGTCGATGGAGACGGAGTGGGACTTGCCCGGCGTGAAGGGGGCCAGCCAGACGTGCATGTCGTCCTGCGTCCTGTTCACCCCGTCGACGAGGTTGCCGACCACCCGGGGGTCCTTCCCGTAGGCGGGTAAAATGTTGATGTCAGGGGGGTCCGCCTGGATGCTCGCGATTTGCACGGGCTCCCCCTTGGAGCTGAATATTTCTATTCCGTTCAGGCCCACGTAGTGCCGGTCCCCCCACGTGGACTTGATGTCAATGACCAAGTGCCGCCCGTAAGGCAAGACGGGGATTCTGAAGTCGCTGGGGTCGCCTGCGTCTCTGCAGTCGTCCGGCCCCGCCCAGGCCTCCGGCCGCTCCCTGCAGGGGGCTGGCTGGGCGCCCTGCCGGCCGCTCCTCTGCTGCTGCAGGAACTCGTCCAGGATGTCCCCCTGCACCTCCATGTTGGAGATGCGCCCTCGGTGGGAGCGGTCAAAGGCGCTGAGGGAGCTCCAGGACTCGTGCAGCGTGTGCTCCTGCTCGCTGCGCCACTGGGGCCGCGGCGGCGGCCTGGTGCTCCAGGCATCTCCTGAAGGAAGGGCACAGGAGGGAGAAGCCCATTAGTGACAGGTGTGGGAGTGGGACCCTTAGTGTCTCATCCAGTAGCTCTCGGCTGGGTGGAGCCGCCCTCAGGAGAACATTCTAGAAGGCAGTGAGGCTGCTGTTGGCTGCCTCAAGGCCCACTGACCCTCCTGGCATGGCCGGTGGGCAGGGCACAGAGCACAGTCTCCTGTCACACACATTCAGCTGGTAGAAAACTGTTTCTGGTTACTCAAGTCTGGGGCCTAGCTCTTTTACAAAAAGCAAAATACTTTTCAATCTGCACCAATTCCTAAGCATGTAACCTCTTGCACATCAAGTGAGGCCTGGATGGTTGTATCGGAGCCTTTGCTGGAAGTTTTCCCACTTCAGAACCTCACACAACCAGAGGCTGCCGGGGGCCGCGGCGTCAGCCACCCAGGGGCCTGGGCCTCAGGCTACCAGTCACGTGACGTGCACGGAGTTTTCTAACTGCTGGCGACAGGCAAAAGGCTCGGGAGAGAAGTAAAATGAAAAGAGCCGCTGTGCCATTTTAGAGGCGCCCAGCCTAGTGTGGGCAGCTTGCACCAACGTGCTAGTATGATCTTTCGGGGTGGGAGCAGGAAGGACTTTTATTTTCTGTCCCCTTATCTTCTGAGTTCCCTACGTGTATTATTTTTATAATCAAAAAAATGCTGAAATGACCCAGGTGCATTGCACGGCAAGGACTTTACTTCCACACACGGCCTAACTGGCTCCAGGAGCCGCAGCCGGGCACAGGGCTGGCGTCTGGAGGCCCGGCTCCCCTCGCAGAACCTAAGAGCCTCGAGTCCACATGGAGCAGGGGCCGTCCTCGGGGCCATGCCAAGTGCCATCGGAGGGTGTCACTCTGGAAAAACAGCAGCTGGCGCCAACATTCTGCTTTTTCTCCTTTCCTATGGTGCCCTGCCCTGCACTCCATTTTCTGCTTCTCTCCTAGGGGGCCCGGCTCCATCAATTATCACTTCCCTCCAGAACCTTCAATCACTCCTTCCCCAGCGCTGCCCTCTCAGCCTGCAGACAAGCGTAAATCTCCGCCCTGAAGGCAGAGGGAGGCCTCGGATCTGCGCTCCCTCCGCCCACTGCAGCGGCTGCGCCCATCGCCACCTCCGTCCCCTGCCACCTGCCTCAAACTCCTCTTCCCCAGAATTCTCTGGGAACAACACCCTGATTTTCCCCTGGGGACCCCCACCTGCAGGCCATTCAGATTAAGCAAATGTCCACAGCGTCCTTGCAAGCCGGGCTCATGAAGGAACCAGAGCAGAGAGGGGCTCTCCGAGAACTGGAGCTGCTGAGGGTGGATGGAGCGGCGCGGCCTGTGGCCGCCTCGCTGCCTGTGGGGGCGGCCTGAGGAGGAAGCAGGGCAGGAGCAGGGCGATGAGAGCTCCTGGTGGCCTCACTGGGCCCTGGGATCCAGCTGTGCCTGGGGGCTCTCCATCCCTCCATCCATGACTCCCCCAGCCCTCCTCTGCAGCTGCTCTCAGGGGCTCCACGCACAGAGTCTTCTCGCAGCGCTCGCTCCAGGCTGCTGTCCGAGGCCATGCTCCCCTCAGGCTCCGGAGACACAGCGCTGCCAGGTTCTCCAAGTCCCGCCCGCAGCTCCTCCCTCCTCCCCACTCCCTATGTCTGGCCCTGGCTCCCACGCAGGCACTGCCACCCCAGGCACCACCGCTCAATGCCCCTCGGGGGGTGCGGACATGTCCACGCCGTCACTTCAGACTCCATGTGCCTAAGTGGCGTTTGCCACATCCCCTCTGAGTGCCATTATCTCTGCCACGCTGGGAACAAGGAAAACCAAAGAAAATCCAGCTCCTCACTACGCCCCAGAGCCCCGAGTTGGCCCCATTAACTTCCCAACCACACCCCCACCTTTCCCCCACGCCCTCCTGCTCCAGCCACGTGGCCCTTCCTCTCTGTGGACACGCCAGGTCACATCTCGTCTCACAGCCTTTGTCCTTGCTGTGCCCTCGGCCAAGAATGCTCTCTTCTCAGATCCCAGGGAGCTGGCTCCTCTCGTCACCTTCCTCGTGGAGAGGCCTACTCTGCCTTGCTGCCTGCTGTGTCAGAGCCTGGCACAGTACCTGGCAAGAGGAAGTGCTCAGTAATGTTTGCCAGCAAAAGGGAAGGACAGCTGGCATCACCATTGCACCCGTGCTCAGACCTGGAGGCTGAGGGACTCCCTCTCCACCTGTCAGTTCTCCTGCACCTGTCTTCACCCGCCTTCCCATCTGCCAGGAAAAAGACGCAGGAGTTTCCGCCATCCTTTCCTCCAGGCATGAGGCTTAACATCTGCAGGAGGGACTGCCCATATGGATCATCAGTGCTCGGTTACCCTGATTTGATCTCCACGGACTGAAATGAATGGCCTGGGTCAGTCTGCAAGGACCCTGAGGAGACGGCACCCAAGTCCCGTGTCAGGGACTCCCTGTGTCTGCCTGGGTGTAAAGAAAGGCAGGTCTCTGGTTTCTGACCTCTGCTCCCCAAGATGTACCCTGGGTTTTAAAAGCAGAGGTGTAGACGCTCTGCTAGACCTCGAAGATGGGACCACCGCTGAGGGCCGGTTTTCCTCTCTGCAGGAAGGCACTCTACTCTCGAGTCCCTGGGGTCAGGGAGCTGCTGGGGTCAGTGTCCTTGGCCAACCCCCACCTGCAAGTCTGAAGGGCAACAGAAAGCTGCTGCTTTGTGAGTCTGTAGTCAACACAGTCTCGGAGGAACCACCGATATGAGAAGATGCAAAACTATTCCTTGGTTGAGACTAACATGAACTACAGTTCTGCACTTGACTTTATAAAAATCAATGGCACCACCATGAGGTGTATGCTAATTGCTACTGAAACAGGAAATGAGGAAGTACATAGTGAGATATAACAGAACCATGTTTATTCTCAGTGAACTGCCCTCCAGTTGTAGCTGATGGAACAAGGAATGGACACCTGACCTGAGTCGGCCAATCAACTTCTCCCCTGAGACTATGGAGCTGGCTCTGGCCACAGAGCCAGAACATTGAGTCACCCTAGGACTGCCAGGCCATTTCCTGCTGTGTGCACAAAGGCAGAGAAAACCGACCCCCTGAGAGAGGGTGAGGGACAGGGGCCAGCGGGAAGCAGAGGTAGGACCTAGACAGTCAGGGATAAGCTTTCTTGGTGCTGGCCAGCGTCCTGGTTCCTCCTCCCAAACCCATGAGATGAGCAGCTACACTTCCTGCCTCTGGGGGTCCAGAAGCGCAAGCATTCCCCAAATAGCACCTCCTTTACTGCTCAAACTGGGCTACAGGATTGCATTCACCTGTAGCCAACTGACCGCTGATAACGACATTCCGAAATGCAGACGTCATTCCAGTGCGATGCTCTGTTGCACAGAAAACCCTCCAGGCTGCCTTACAGAGCCAATTCTAGGCTCAGGGAGGAGTCTGGCAGTCATGCTTCCTAGCAGCACCCATGGAGCTGGGCCTCATGGCATGGCTTTGGCTCTATGGAATGGGCAATTTAAAATTTCAAAGCGCCTTTCCCTTTTAGCATGACTGGTTTAACAAGCATTAAATCTGAAGGGCTCAGATCTTAATGTGTCACTGAGCCAACCAGTGACATGCCTGGAAAGAAATTAAAGGGTGGACATGTTAGAATAAAACCATCACCTCTAACTCCCAGAGGCTCCAAGGGTCTGTTTACCAGGGAAGCTCAGAACTGCCCGGCTCCCCGGGCGGGGGCTGATGGTGGCTGTGCAAGCATGGATGCTGGAGCAGGACACAGGTTCAAAGTCTGCTCTGCCCTGACTGGCTGAGCCCTGAAGAAAGTTGCTTAACGCCCGTATCTCTTTTAGCTGTAAACGGGGCTGATAGGAGGATGAGTGAGCTGGTCTGAGTGGCCCGGCAGCCTGCCCCAGAGTCACTCAGCCTTCCCACACTCGGAGGACCCACCGCGAGCAGACACCTGGGCCTGAGACCCCCTCAAGGAGCTCCTCGGCTCTCCTCTCCCTCCCACTCCGCTGTCCCCGATACCCACACAGGGTAAGTCCTGGCCCCACAGGAAGACACTCAGGTCTTACGGACTTGCTCTGTGTCCTAAGCGACATGTCAGGGTCTGAAGGAGGCCCAAACTCGTCACATTTCTAAGTGCAGCCTTTCGGACTCTTCTCTACAATGATGGAGTAGATGCTGATGTGACTTGCTGAGAAAATATATACCGTTGATCCTCGAACACCAGTTTGAACTGCGCGGGTCCACTTCTATGTGGCTTTTTTCAGTAAATATGTACAGTACTGTCAAGGTACTTTCTCTTCCCTATAATTTTCTTAATAACATTTTCTTTTCTCTGGCTTACTTTATTGTAAGAATACCTACATAATACATGTAACATAAAAATGTGGGTTCATCGCCTGCTTGCTATTGATAAGACTTCCGGGTAACAGTAGTCTCACAGTAGTTAAGTTTTGAGGGCGTCAAAATTTATATGTGGATTTTCGTCCCCTGCCACCTGCCTCAAACTCCTCTTCCCCAGAAGGATCAGCACGAGGGATCAGCACCCCGAACCTCCCAGTGGTTTATGGGTCAATTGTACCTGGGTTTCACCTATAGATACACCATGAGGGAGAGCCACAGAGTGCAGGCAGTGCTAATGTCGTGACAATAAAGAGCAGCAGCTACCATCTCCTGGTGCGCTTGTGTACCAGGCACTGTGTCAGGCATTGCACATGGGCACAGCACCCGAGATGGGTATTACTGGCAGCATTTTACAGATGAGGAAACTGAGGCTCAGAGACGCTCCAGGCTTGCCCACAATATGGGCTGGATTGCTCCTATGCAATGTGGAGTGGGGTTAAATTCAGAGGACTAGGGGTGAGTCCTGCCTTGGTAGGTCCCAGTGGTTTGTGGACAATAAAGGACCAACAAGCTAATGTTGAAAGAAATGGCCGCCACTTGTGGGCCGCCTGTCTACGTTGGAAAAGTCGAGTATTGAAAGAAAAATGAGCAAAGGGACGTATCGTGGTGGCAATGACAAATATATCTATGAGTTTAACATACAAAGTATGCCTTGCCCGTTTCACTCATTGCTGTCTCCCCTGTGGCTCCTGAGACAGTAAATTGGGGACCCCAGGTTAAGAAGAACCCCTTGCTTTGCAGATGAGGAAACTGAGGCTCGGAGAGTTGAGTGGCCGGTGCCAGTCAGCAGCCTCCTGCAGGGATGATGAGCCCCAGTCAGACCGCTCCCCGAGCTTACCTCTGCCGGCTGGGGCTGGCCGCCCATCACCGTGACTGCTGCCGAGGGCGTCCTTCCGGCCCCTCCTCCCACTAGCGGGGCGCTCCCTGTTGGAGGGCTGCTCAAAGATGTCCAAGTCATCCCTGCAGACGCTGGGGGTCACCCTCGGGGCTCCGTCCTCCAAGGCGGCATTCCGGCTGCTGGCCCGTCCTGGCTCACGCCGGGGGCCGTCATCCCTGGCCTCCGCAGGGCCCTCCCTGAAGATGTCCTCACCCTCTGGCACCAGCCCGCCCGTCCCTTCGGGGGGCTTCTCAGGACGCAGCCAGAGGGGTTTGGGCTTCCTGCCTCCCTGCCCCCTGCCTTTCCCTGCGGGTGAGGGCTGCAGCCAGGCGGGGGTTTTCCCTGGCGGCTCAGAGACCTTTCTGCCCAGGTTTTCCAGCTGCAGAGTCAGTGAGAGCTCCTGGTCCAGCGGAGGGCACTCCCCTGGGGGCCCGGGGGCAGGGGCATGCTCGCCCCCCACAGAGACTGGGGCTGCTGACGAGCTGAAATGGTCCTCTAACTTGGACAAATTGTCTTTTATGCAACCAGGAGAATTCATCCTTTCACCAAATAAAGGTCCTGGTGAAGAAACCGCCACATCCCCTGCCTCTCCGTCTGGCTGCGAGCGAGTGGCGCTGAGCTCCTTGTCCTGAGTGGTGCCCGCCATCCCCTGGGCACCTCTGCCTTCTTCCGAGGGGGCATTAATGCTGTTCTCCACCCCCTCAATCTGCTCATTTTTCAGGCTGACTGGGATGCTCTGGTCGGCTGGGGCCTCCCCGTCGCCTTTGTCTAACTGGCCATCAAAGATGAGGCTTTTGTTGACATAAAGCTTCACATTCTTCGCACCAACGTCAAGATCCTGGAGACAAAATTTAACAAAACAGAGATGCGTGGTGTCAGACTGATGTATCAAATTCTGTAGCAGAAGATGAAGAGAAATTGAATGCTAGAAACACGGGCTTGTGAAAGCACAGCACTGGGATGTTAAACAAGGCTCAGTCTCCCTCCTGTGCGAAGCTTACACTATAAATCAAAGGACCTTCACAAAGAGGTGCCTGATGGGTCTGTCATCGTCCCTCCCGCTGGGACATCTGTAACCACCGCTAATTGGTCTCCCTGCTTCCTGCTCTGCTGCTCCAACCTCCACCTCCTGTCGCAGGGAGGTAGTTTCCTGCCAGTGCAGATCTGGCCGCCACCCCCTGGTGAACCCTCGGTCTTCACTGCCGAAGCGGCTTCACGCCAGTGCGTCCTGGGCCTCACTGCGCACAGCCAACACAGACCTGGCTCAGGGGGCAAGGACTAGAGTGCAGGCTGCTTGCCTGGTAAGGTGCTCCCAAGAGTCAGGGCCCCGAGAAAACCCCATAAGGCATTTGAGCTGGTCACTGCCGTGGGCGACTGGGGCTCTATTCCACTGGGGACCCCCGAGGAACCCACAGAAGGCACTCAGTGTCCCTCCAAGGCGGAGGCTGGGCGGTTGTCTACTGACTCCCTTCCCTGCTGCGGAAGGCTGCCTTGGGCACTGTGGCTTGGGAAGTCCCTCGCCACCTCCCCCTAGCACAAAGGCAGAGAGCCTGGGAGCACCGAGGCTATGCCTGTCAGCTTGCCTGGCTGCCCCACCTGGCCTGCCCCACCTGCCTGCCCCACCTGCCTGTCCCACCTGGCCTGCCCCACCTGCCTGTCCCACCTGCCTGTCCCACCTGGGCTGCCCCACCTGCCTGTCCCACCTGGCCTGTCCCACCTGAGCTGCGCTGGAGGAGAGGCCAGGGCCGAAGTCGGCAAATTGTGGCTCACAAGCCATATGCAGCTCTTTGGCCCCTTGAGTAGCTCTTCCACAAAATTCCCTGGCCTGGGTGAGTATTTTGAAGAAGTGGTGTTAGAAAAAGTTTAAGTTTAAAAAATTTGGCTCTCAAAAGAAACTTCAATCGTTGTACTGTTGCTATTTGGCTCTGTTGACTAATGAGTTTGCCGACCACTGGTCCAGGGGATGTGGTGCGGGCGCTGCATGTGTAACAGGTTTTTCTTCTGATTCCTTTGCACAGGAATGTGAAGACCCTCAGGCCAGTGGGGTGAACTCTAACCCTCTCAGCATGTGACAGAGGGGTCCCTGGCTAGGCTTCCTGTCTCCTTCTTCTCCCCCCACTTCTCTGTTCATGCTGAGTGAAACCACACCTCCGCCTGCTACTGCCCTGCCATCTGTCCATTCCCTTCACATCAGAACACTTCTGAAAAACTGCTTGACTGAGGAATATAACACATACCTCATACAGAAAACAGCACATTTTTAAAGTGTACAACTTGATAAGTTTTAACATCAAATCAACTTTCCAATTAAATAATGAGCACATTACCCCTAAAGTTTCCTTGTATCCTGGGTAGCCCCCAACCCCTCCCAGCCAACCACCATCAACTTTCTGTCATGATAGATCAGTTTGCCTTCCCTTTTTAAGTAAAAGGAATCACACACTACGGACTCTTCTTGGCTTAGCTTCTTTCCTTCAGCATAATGACTGGAAGATCCATCCACGTTGTGTGAACTAATAGCTTTATTCCTTTTTCTTGCTGAGGTACTTCATTGTCGGGGTGCCCCACCATTTTTTTTGCCTTTACAGGAGACCCTTCAAGTCACTGTCCCAGCTGCTCCCCCCTCCCCCCCACCCCCCCTGTGGCCCTGGCCCCACTGCAGTCGGGCCAAGGGCACCAGTACCTGGGTGGAAACTTCCTGTGTGTCTGGGCGGTTCAGATCTATTCCACTGTCCTGGCCCAATTATTCACAGAACCCTCTTTTCACTTAGAGTGTCCTGGTTTGGACGGTCAGTTTTAGGGCGAGCAGGGGCCAGATCCACCGGGAGCTCTCAGGCTCAGGCAGGCAGCTTCTCAGCAGCACCTGTGCCATCGCCGCTCCTCCTAGTGATCTCTTTCCCCAGCTTGCAGGCTGCACCTGGCTGGGCTTCCTCCTGCCTCAGCTGCACTGCCTGGGCTCCCCTGCTCCCCCACCCCTCTCAGCCTCCCTGCCCCGGCTCCCCAGCTCTCCCCCTCAGCTGTCCTGCCTGGATTCCCCTTAGCTGGGCCTCGAGTGGCTGGAGGGTCCTGGGCTCAGATTCCTGCTCCCTCACTCGGGGTCTTAAATACTCTCTTTGTGTTGATAGCTTGTGATCATTTTAATTTCCAACCCTGACTTCTCCACTAAGCCCCTAGTGACCACGTGACCTCTCTTCTAGGCTATGTAACAGGTGTCCCAACTTTAACACGCCCCACACCGGTAGTTGGCAAACTCATTAGTCAACAGAGCCAAATATCAATAGTACAACGATTGAAATTTCTTTTGAGAGCCAAAATTTTTAAACTTAAACTTCTTCTAACACCACTTCTTCAAAATAGACTTGCCCAGGCCGTGATACTTTGTGGAAGAGCCACACTCAAGGAGCCAAAGAGCCGCATGTGGCTCAGGAGCCGCAGTTTGCCAACCACAGCCCCACACGGAACCCTTACTTCACTTTCCCAAGCCTGGTCTCCTCCCATCTTAAAAATGGCGGTCCCATTCAGTCAGTTGCCCACAGCCCAGGAGTCCTCCCTGGCCCCTCCTGCTCGCTCACTCACACAGCCAGGGTCCGGGATCCATGGCTGTAACCTACACACCCCTCCAAACCTGCCCTCTGCTCCCCGAGTGTGCTGCCTCCTCGCCAGGCCACCATCTCTCCAAGAGGCTCTACCGTAACCTGCCAGCGGGCCCCTGCTTCCACTCCACTCCATCGCCGCGAACCCACCACAGGCACGTGCTTCCTCCTCTGCACAGCAGTCCGTCTTTCTTTTTGAAACAACTTATCAGGTTCCGGCGCCCCTGCTAAAACCCCACACATAAGCTCCACCCGCTTCAGTGGCCAATAAAGACTTCTGATCTGCCCCCTGCTGACCCCTCTGACCCGACCTGCCACTCTCCCTCCACTCCCAACACACTGATCTGGTTGTTGTTCCCTGATCCAGCCAACTCATCCCACCCCGGACGGAGCACTTGCCCGGAAAGCTCTGCCCAGAGCCCTGCAAAGCTGGCTCCTGTCCTCACAGTGACCTTCCCTCCTCTCTGCCCTTTCCATCTCAGCATCCTGCTCGATTTCCTTCTGGTCTCTGAAATGGTCTTATTGCCTTTTTACGTTATTTATTGTCTCCTCCGCTCAAAGTTAACCTCCAAGGCACCGGGGGCCCCTGTCCCATCTTGTCGAAGGCCCAGCAGGCCCCTGGCACACAGTAGGTTCTCAACAAGGACTGAGGAATCTTAAGTGAACCAGCACAGAGAGGCAGCATGCTCTCTAACAATGTCCCGCAAAAGCCTGCAGAGACGTGGTCTCGGCTGGTGTCACTCCCGGCCATTCTCCATCTGCTCTGGGAGATGGGAGCTGAGAGCCAACAGGTGCCCATCTACATCGCCCCGCCGCCCTGAGGGAGGTGGGCAAGCTCTCACACCGGGCACCACTGCAGAGGCTTCGGGGCAAAGTGGAGGGAGACCCATCCACCCTGTGCCGCACAGGCCTGGCTCCGACCCCTGCTGCAGGATGGCAGCTGCTATTTGCCCACTGTCAAAAGTCGCGATTCTCAAAGCCCCGCTTCCTCCTTGATGTGGATGCACTCTCTGCCTAGCAGAGGCACAGAGCAGGCGCGTGATGGGAATTAATCAGGGAACAGCTATCTGAGAAGGACAGCACGGGCAGCTCTCAATGACTAGTTCCACTAAATTACCGCATGGGAACATCTGGCGAGACAGAAACACGCGTTTAAGAGGAGCTGGTGGAGGGAGGCCTCCCATCCGCACAGGCATGAGGTGGGCAGCCTGGCTTTCGTAACGGAGTCTGGCTTCCAAAATGGGCTGGGTCTGTCATGGACCATCTGGAGCACCACCTGACCTCCAGCGCCTGCTGCTTGGCTCCCGCCAGGAAGCGGGACTGGGAGGGAAGCAGGCCAGGACAGGGGTCCAACCTCCTATGCCCACAGGGCCAGGCGGGTAGGAGGGAGGTGAGCTAGGGAGGAACCAGAGGAAGTGGTGTGCTGTGGGGAGCTGGGAGGCTCGTGTCCGGCCTGATGCTGCTCATCTGCACAGGTCCCAATGTCCTGCAGGCCAAGCAAGCCACAGCAGAGGGGGGGTTTGGCCTGAGTGGGATCCTAGGAGGGGAACAAGTAGTGGTCACTTCCCTGGTGACAACAAGTGGAAAGACGAAAAGGCTGTCCTGTCCCACAGTCCTCAGAACCACTGCACACGGGGCACAGGGCCCGTCTTACAGATGGAGACTCTGAGGCTTGCCCTCCTGGAGGTCACACAGCCCTCCCTGAGGCCACTCTGGATGGCACGCCCGAAGTCTAGCTGCTGCCCCCCTGAGGCTTGCTGGGCCTGGAGAGGCCTCAGGCTGGCCACCGGCAGAACCACCTGATCTAGGGAACTCAGTCCCATTTACCCTTTTTTAATCATTTGCTGGGGACCAGCTCTCCGACCCACACCCTGGCTCCCTCCTCAGGCCAGGAGGCCATCGCTGTGGGCACAGGGAGGGAGTGTACACGCTGTGTCTTTCCTGGCCTTTCATGTATGGGCTGAAGGAACTGTCATCGCACCTCTCGGGTGGGGCTAGAAGCCATGGACAGGTGCGAGCAGGTACCATGGAGAACCAGGGCGGAGGATGTGGCAGGTCCGCACCCGCAACCCCACAGTAAAGCTCGGTATTGGGGATGTCTTTGGAAAAGGAGGGAGGGGGAAGTCTCTTGCTCCTAAAGAACCAGCCTGCTTCCTGCTTTCCAGTAACCAGGACTCAGTCCCGACATGCGTGTGTGCATGTATGAATGTGTGTGTGTGTGTGTGTATGCGTGTGCGCGCGCGCGTGTGTGTGTGTGTGTGTGTGTGTGTGTGTGTGTGTGTCTTTGTTGTTCCCTTGGCACTGAGAGTTCCTTCTTGCCTAATGAGAGCTATTGTTATGCCTGCGCTGGCGCTGCCTCAGGTCCTTTAGCAGCGGATTTTCTCAAGGACATCATGGCGCAGGGAAACGGGAGCATCTCTCTGGCCCATCCCTCCGTAGCCTTCCTTACAGCGGACCAGAACCACCATGTGGGACACTAAGGCAGTTTTAATACAACAACTGGATATTATTTTGATCTAAGACACCTTGCCATCTGCAACAACATGGACAGGCCTTAATGGCTTCATGATTAAGTGGAGTAAGTTAGAGAAGACAGATACCACATGATCCTACTATATGTGGATCTGAAAGACAAACAAGAAAAAAACCAAACTCACTGATACAGAGAACAGAAGGGTGGTTGCCAGAGGCAGGGTGAGTGTGTGCATGATGCAGGGAGGAGAGGAAGGGAGAGATGGGTGAAGATGCTCAAAAGGTACTAACTTCTGGTTACTATAAGATATGTGAGTCCTGGAGGCATGATTTCTCGGTCACTACAGTTAATAATACTGCAGCATATATTTAAAAGTTGATAAGAGAGTAGATTTTAAAAGTTCTCATCACAAAAAAAACAACAAAATAAATGAAATGCAGTTTCTCAGTAGCCGCCCTGGCTAGCGGCTCCTGTTCTGGACGGAGCGGATATGGCGCTTCCTCATGTCACTGCAGAAAAGTCTACTGGGCAGCGCAAGACCACCACGCCATGTCACAGAAACATACCGCCAGGGGAATGAACATGACTCATTCAATCATGCACGCATTGTAAGCTGCTTACGGAGCAAATTTCTGTACATGAAATACACCGAGTGTCCGTCCTGCCTCACTCGCCGTTTGGCCAAGCGGAGGGGCATCCGAGGGTAATGCCGTGAAGAGGGTGACGTGCCTGTTTTACTGCAGGCTGGAAGCAGAGCACGAGCAGGTTGTTACAAAGGAAAGTGGATGGGTGGTGGGAGCTACGGGAACCCCATTTGGACAATTATTACATACTATAAAGGGAGACAGATGTCAGTCTACGGGGACACCGTGGTGAGAAAACAAGAGAAAACCCAACAGACCTCAGCTTCCTTCCAAGCGCTGCCACTCACTAGCTGAGCAGTCACTTAACCTGGGGAATATAAAAATCCATGACAAGCCTATCATCACGTCTTCCTCCCAAGCCATGGCGGGCATCACACATCACTCATGCACCTTCTCCTTGATGAACGAGAGGAAAGTTCCAGAACTTTCTTAGGACAGGCAGCCATTTCCAAGCAGAGTGGGCTAAAGAGACCATTTCTACCTGGTGGGATCTCATTGAGCAAGTCCCAGATCTCCGTCTACATGGTGGGGCCTGACAACACAGACCTTGCAGAATTGCTGAGGTTCACTGGGTGCTCAGGCATCAGATGTTCTCTGCATGCCTTTCCCCTCGTGCCCATCCACACACGCAGCCCTGGGAGGCAGCTGTGGCCAGTGCCAGGCGTGCTGCCTTCCTGCATGGACCCGAGCCTCCCGCTCTCCTCTCCCCTCAGGCCCGTCCTCTGGGCCAGTTCTCTCACGAAACCCCTGCCGAGGGGAAAGGTGCCCATAAAAGTTAGCCTGAGGGTGTGTAAGGCAGTGTATTCTCTAGCACCTTCTTCTATTCTAAATAAGCTGTGGCTGGATTAGCTCTGGGTTCTCACTTTTCTTCGTTGGATTCCATACACAAACACTGTATTAACAAGCCGTGTCTCCCAGGTTGAGCTGTATTTCCATGAGCCCTCATTCTGTCTCTCCTGAAACACAGCACCAGCACGCTCCGGAGAACGTGAAATCAAGCCAACCTCAGCTGTGTTCCTGCGTGTGTTCTGCCTCCATTCACTCTGGCAGCAGGTGGGTGGGTGTGCCTGAGGTGGCGGCGCCCCTGCCGGGGACTGCGGCCCGCCCCACTCCACTGTGTGTGGGCATGCCTGTGCTTCTCATCCCCCAGCCCTCAGCTCCGCAAAACACCCGAATGCCACTCCGGTGCCTCTTCCTCCCCTTTATGCTCATCACACAAGGGAGGGCTGAGTGCAGGTTAAAGGGGCAGGCCTCAGCCCAAAGGGACCAAGCTTATCTGCTCTGCCATCCAGCACAGAAAATCTGCTTTGCTCGGCCTGAGATACATATTAATGTCAGGGCTGAGTGACAGGGCGCGGGTCTGGGCAGCCAGGTGTTTCATCGCCCATTCCAGAAGATGCTGGGGACCACCGGCCAGGAAGCACCCCGAGGACTTGGGCATGAGAGGACACAGCCCAAGACGCTGGGTGTGCGCTGGGGCCATGCCATGCTGGGGCTGCATTCAGGGTCTGGGGAGAGACCCTAAGCACATGGGTTGGGGGAGGGAGGGCAGGTAAGCTGACACTCTCACTGCAACTTCCTCAGTTATTCCAGTGGTATGTGCTTTTCTTACATTTTAACTTTAGGTATTTGTTTTCAAAAACTCCAAGACAGGAATCAGAGAAAGCCGTTACTTCTCTGAGCAGCGTCGTGGGTGAACAGAGCCGTCAGCCTCCAGATCCCCGGAGCCTTGTACGTATTTGTTTTCGAGGTGGCTGGCCACTGGGTGGGAGTCTCAGCAGGAAGCAGTAGGGAGGGCGGACAGGAAGGAGGCAGAGGCACAGACCTCTAACAACGCTCTCAGTCTCTCATTGGGATGTCAAAAAGGGCAAGACAACTGCTTATCATTCCTGGATGAACGCATTCATTCATCTGACAACCAAGCATGTCTACTTTGACAGAGCCGTGGGGAGACAACACAGGCCCTGCTCCCAGGAGGCCCCCAGCACTGTGGGGGAGGCAGGCATCGATCCTAGAACAGGCTGAGGGGGCATATTCATGAGGTCCAGAGTAGTACAAGAGTCAGGCTGGCTGCTTGGAGACAGTGGCCATCTGGGATTTTCAGGAATACGAGCCGGAGGCAGGCATTTTGAGCTGAGCAGGGTGGGAGAGGCTGGTGTATTTAGCATGGAGGTTAGTGAAGAGCTCAGGAATGTGCTTCTTCAGGTACCTTCCCTGACCTCTCCCAGTCTGACACCGCCCCTCCCCTCCATCCCCCACTCCTGCCCAATGTGCCCCAGGGGTAACAGTGTGGGGCAGGCAGGCCAGCTCCAGCCCAAAGATGAATTATATTATGGTTTCAACAGAATTTAAATTAGCTACTGACATTCACAAACCAGAAAGGCTCATTGTAAAATCTGATTCCCAGCTTCCTGGAAATGCTCAGAGGACCCAGCAGAACTGGTTGGCCCTCCTATATGGCAACCATTAGTTGAAGGTCAAAAGTGGCCTGTATGTCTGGCCGGCGTGGCTCAGTAGTTGAGCATTGACCTATGAACCAGGAGGTCACAGTTAAGATTTCCAGTCAGGGCACATGCCCAGGTTGTGGGCTCAATCCCCAGTGTGGAACATGAGAGGCAACCAATCCAATGGTTCTCTCTCATCATTGATGTTTCTATCTCTCTCTTCCTCTCCCTTTCTCTCTGAACTATATATATGTGCTTGCTAGTCTACCACACTCCCCACCATACCCTAATATCCTTCTAACAATACTGAAGCTGAGTTCAGAGTGGGGTCCCATCTAGCATCTCACTTGTCCCATAAATTGCCTTACAGTGGAAAGGGAAGTAGGACCGTTTTCATCCCCAGGTCTATCATAAGAGGGGGAAGAAAACAGGCTAAGCTCCCACTGAGTCACTGAGCTCCCACTGAGTCCCAGCAGCTTCTGTCTGAAACCCTTGGCACCTTGGGCTCACCGTTACCAAGGTCTTTGTCACACTGCACTATTCCTCATTTATATGTCTGCCAGCTGTCAGATGCAAAGTATCTCCAGGGCATGACTGTGTCTGACATCAGAGTCCTCACAATTGATCATAAAGCTTGATGACCTCTAGTTATGTGCTCAGGAGTAAATGTCAAATGAAGGGATGGATGCAAATGGATGCATGAAACACAGTCCAGTGAAGAAAGGTGAGGACCTGGGTGTAGGGGTGGGGGTGGGGGGGCAGAGGAGAGGAGGGATTCTGAAACCAGAGGAGCAGCCAAGCACAGAGCAGGGTGCACACACGAGGAGCGCTGGCACCTGGGAGCTGGTTGGACATGTCACAACGGGGGCACTGCCCTCGGCCTGCAGGGAAGACCCTGCATTCTAGCAAGTCTCATGGCAGTCATCATGGGTTACAGTGTGAGAAGAGCTGGCTAAGCAAATGGGCCTGAATTCCAACCTCAGGGGTTCAAATTCTTACTGTGACGCTTACTGGCTGTGTGACTTGGCGCATGTTACATAGCCTCTCTCTGTGTGTGTTTCATTATCAGTTAAAACTGAGCCTTGCGGGGACAGGTTTGGCTCAGTGGATAGAGCGTCGGCCTGCAGACTGAAAGGTCCCAGGTTCGATTCTGGGCAAGGGCATGTACCTTGGTTGCGGGCACATCCTCAGTAGGGGGTGTGCAAGAGGCAGCTGATCGATGATTCTCTCTCATCGATGTTTCTAACTCTCTATCCCTCTCTCTTCCTCTCTGTGAAAAATCAATAAAATATATTAAAAAACAAAGCAAAAGAAAACAAAAACCTGAGCCTCAGTTGGTATTTTTTCAGTTCCCCCAAAGGGTGACCTAAGTACCCATTCCAGACCTCCGAGCACAGACCCTGCCCCAGTGGCTACGATACCCCCACAGGCACTTGCCGTACCAGCGGGGCCTCCGGCACCCATTTTGCAGTTTCAGGAATCAGGCTATTAGGTAGCACTAGGTGCCCAGGGAAGCATCAGAGCCTGGTACTTACGCCATCAGCCGTCCAGTAGTTCCAAACCTTGATCCTGGCCAGACCAAAGGCAGGCAGCCTTCCGGTGCTGCGGATAACGAAGAAGAGCTGCAGTGGCGGGTGGAAGGGGCAGGTCCACAAGGAGGAGTCTTTCTTGCTCTGAAACACCAGCAAGAGAGGGGAGCAGTCAGTACATGCACCAGCAGCAACTGCACCCTAATAAAAACCCGGGAGAGGGCTGAGGGCAGACAGCCAGGCCCCTTCCTCTTTATCAGGTTAGGGAAGTTTTCTGCCATTCTTTCTTCAACCCACATTCTCTATCCCCGTGTCCCTTTCTGCCTCCCTGGCACACCTACTATTCAAATATTATTACATTACATGTTGTCCCACAGCTCCCTGAAGCTGTCCTCCTGTTTTTCCTCTTTGGTTCTCTGATTGAGTGATTTTTTTTTCAACTCTATCTTCTAATTCATTGATCCTCAGCTTCCCCTAACCTGCTGTGTATTCCTTCCAATGTGTTATTTATTTGTGCTTTGTCATCCTTTATTTCTATTCTCATAGTTAGTATGTCTTTTCTTATGCTGTTGAACATATTTACCATCATTTTTCTGAACTGTATATCAGATAAATTTCTTATCTCCATTTTGTTTAGCTCTTCTTTTGAAGTATTCTCTTGTTCTCTCACTTGGGGGTTGTTTCTTTGTGTCCTCATTTGGCTGTCTGTTAGGGTTTGTGACTGTGTATTAAGTAGATCTGCTATGCCTCTCAATCTCTAGTGCAGGACAGTGGCAAACACTGTTTCTGACTAATTGGATCAGGCAAAGACTCAAAGCCCCCAGAGAATGCTTCTGCCTACAGACTGTTAGGATTCTGACTTGAATGGCCCCAGGGAATCATTTTCAGGTGTGGTGAGAGTTTTTTAAACTGGGTGGGGGCAATTGCTTCTACCTGGAGGCTAATTATTATTCTTTTAAATAGTGCTTGGAAACTCTGCACCGTGGCACAAGGTGTTTTCTAATAGGGTGAGTCAACTTTTCTCCCCCACCCAGGCAAAGCTGCCTGTATAGCAAATGTCTGCATGAGAAAGATACAGCATGAGGGAATGACTCAGCACAAAAAACTGGAGTGTCTGCCTTTTGAGCTCTTACTCCAGAGCCTCTGATCCTGGCTTCTGCTCACATAGCTCCAGTCCACTCTGCCCTCTCACTGCAGGAGCACAAGGTGAGTGGCTCCACAGGAAATTTTGTGCATTAGCCCGTTAAGAGGGTGCCTGGATTCCAGCCATCTCTCCCTGGCAGACAGCAATGCTACTACTCTTTACAGCCAGATGTTATGAGGGTATCCTTCTCAGTTCTGGTGCTCTCTGCTGGGGGCCCAGCTCGGAGATTAGACCCCAGCATGTCAGGCCCCTTGTCTAAGAATCCAGGGGTGGGTGTAGGTCTACAGTCTCTCCCCACCTGGACTGATCCTCACCCTGGCTTAAAGCTGCCACTCAGGCCTTCAGCCCCACCATCAGACTGAATTTAAAATGCATGGCTTTGCTGTGCTTGGCCTTGAAGAAGCACTGAGGGTGGGGGCTCTAGAGGGAAGGGCAGGACAAGAGCCACCACTTGCCTTATCTTATAAACCTGGCAGAGTTTTGTTTTCTTTTGTAAAACCTTGTCAAATTAAAAACATTTTTAAATAGAAGAGAAATCAACTGGCTGAAGCATTTGTTGGGATGGGGCTGTGGCACTGAGCACGGGAGTCCTTTTGTCCCTCTCAGAACCCCAGAGTGCCACTTCTGCCAGCCAATGAGCTGCAGGCCTAGGCCACACTCAAGGACAAGGGTCGGAGAGCAGGAGAACCTTGCTGTCACTCTCCTTCACACCAACAAAATTCTGTCCTGCTTTTGGTGCAGGTGGAAAAGCCCAATCAGGGGACTTCTCTCAGCTCTAGTGGCCTCTCTTGTCTCTTCCAGACCACACCGACTTAGCCTCTTCCTGTCCTCGTCACCTTGGGAATTTCAGCTCAAATGTGCTTTCGCACCCCCCTGCCCCTGCCCTCAAGGTATCGCTCTCCCTCCAAGGGTGCCTGTAGCTTTCTGAAATGCCCGGGGCTAGCTTTCCTCTAGGTGCCCCCCAATGACCTGCCTTCAGGTCCATGGCCCTACCCCCGACTCAGCTGGGAGCTCTTTAAGGGAAGTGGCCACATCAGATTCATTCCAGAACCCTAACATTCAGCAAAATTCCTTGGCACATCATAAATGCCAAAAAAACTTTGTTGAACGAATCAATAAATGGATGAGTGACATTTACCTCCTAATATCAGTCCTCTCATTGAAACTTTAAAAAGACTGTAAACTGAATTTGGCCTACACAGCTATTTTATTTGGCTCATGAGTGTTCTAAAACAAAAAGGCACATTCTCTGCCAACACTTGACGATAGGGAGGATTCCGCTCCTCAGGCTGCATTCCTGCTTCTCTGCAGACCTGAAAGCTGGGGTGGCAGCACGGGTCCCTGACACCCATCGGCCCCAGTCCCCACACATCGTTTCACATTCGCCTCACTCCCTCATTATGCCTCTGCCAGGACCTGCAGGCATTTGAATTTAGGGTCTCTGCTTAGGGCCCAACAGTTGCCAGTCCCATGCGCCTACAAGCCAACACCACATCCCTGACACTGGCTGAAGTGGTCCCTTTTATTAACAGGAGCATCACCACAGACTCCTGTCACCAGGACCGAGCCTGCGAAGTGACAGAGGCGGGGAAGGAGATTGGCTGACTGGGTTTTGCCGCCCCAGGAGACGGAGGCCCGCTCCAGCTGCAGGGACGAACAAAGGCGGCTTGTTCCAGTGACAACAGTGCCTTTCAGAGGGGCGGAGGCTGCTTTTGTTGAGGGGGGGGAGAGATGAGTTCAAGGGGTTCTGACTTGTTTTGGCAAGTTTCTCAAGCTTTGCAAGGACTTCCAGTGCCCTGGCAGATACGAGGGCTCAAGAAAGCATGTCTAAAATCCTCCAGGGGTCATCTCATCCCTTGGCTGAGCTGGGCCTAAACTGGGTCACTGCGGCTGCTTGAAAAAGGCAGAGGCTGAGGCTGACCCCAGGGCAGGGCGCGAGGGCCGCCATTGATTTCCCTCACTTCCTGTCAGCTGGAGGAATAGCAGGAGGGCTAAGCGGGCATCTAGTGCTCATAGTCGGAGAATGCGAATCCAGAGCCTCGTTAGCAACCCAGCTTCTGATGTTTCCTTTCACAGAGCTGGAGAGAGCTGGCAGGAAGCTGCTGGCCACTGACCCATGGCGTGCTGGGCAAACCCTAGGTGCCCGCCAGCAGGCAGAGGGTCTGCGCCCGCCCATCACAGGTGGTGAGGCTGGCAGCAGGAGAAGCAGGGCACCTTCGCTTCCTGCTGCCACTGCTCTCTCATCCTGAGAGGCGAGTCTCCCGCACACACTGTGCCACGGTGCACTCTGACAAGTAGTGGAGTGCGGATCACACCCAGGCTCTTCTTCATTAATTCGTTTGTCTTCGTCTGGATTCCCTAGGAGCAGACCCCGAGGCAAGAATTCCAGTGGAAGGTGTTTATTCAGACAGGGAAGCAGACTCGATGGAGCTCGGGGAAGAGAGAGGGGAGAGGCAGCCCACAGTGTGTTACCAAGCCAGCCATTCCTCTGGGCCCTGGAGCTTGGCCCACCTGGAGTCTGGAGCTGTGTGGAGAGCTCAGAGGGACTCCCCCACAGGACAAGGGAGTGGGGTGCTCTGCCCCACCAGCTGGCACCTACTGCATGTGAGGCAACGTGGGCCCTGGAGGCCAGAAAAGTCCTCCTTCAGAGAAGCATCGGTGCTGGTGGTCGAGCAGCAGACTGTGCCCCGAAGTGGGAAGGGTAGGGGAGGCGCCAGCACTGAGCTCAGCAGGTGCTGAGGGGGACACAGGGTGGGCAGAGTCTGGCCCACCAGGTCCCAGCTCTCTGCTGGTAGGGGAGGTAAACAAGTGAAAACACAAGAAAGAACAAAACATGGATGCATTTGATGATGAAAATAAGAGAGAATTATTAATGGCCAATGGAAGGGCTATTTTAGAATGCATGGTCAGGGAGGGCCTCCCTGAGGATTCACTTTCTAACTCCAAGACAAAGGTGCTTTCTCTTCCATCTTAACCCAACACAGACGCACCCGCCCGCAGGGAGATGCCGATGGCCCTGGGAAGTCTGCCCAATTTAATAAAGCATTGCCATAAAAAAGGAACGAACAACTACTGATATACACAATGATGTGAATGGATGTCAAGGGCATTATGCTGAGTCAAAAAGTCAGTCTCAAAAGGTTACATGCAGTAAGCTCCCATTTATTTAGCATTCCTGAAATGACAACACGTATAGGGCAGATCGGTGGTCACCGGTGTTAGGGACAGCTGTGGGGAGATGTGACTAAAGGTTGCACGGGAATTCCTCTGTAGTGATGGAGCCGTTCTCTACCTCAGGGTGGTGGTGGCTGTGCAAATCTACATATGATCAAACTGCAAAGACACACACACGCATGCACATGAGTGCATGGCGGTCTGCACATTATGCCAGTGTCAACCTCCTGGTCTGACCAGGGTCTGTAATTACAGAGGACATTATCATCAGGGAATCTGGGCAAGGGCGCCTGGGATATTTCTGTCCTTTAAAATAAATTGAGATATAATTTACATATATAAAATCACCACTTAAAAAAAAAAAAAAGAAAAAGATCACTGCTTCAAGGGTACAATTCAGTAGTTTTTGGCACATTCATAAGGTTGTGCAACTATCACTCCTATCTTTTTCCACTGAACTTTACCACCCCAAGGACACCCTACCCTGTACCTTTCAGCAGCTGCTCCCCATTCCGCCTCCCCTGAGCTCATGGCAGCTACTCTCTGTCTCTGCGGATTTCCCTGTCCTGGACATTCCTATAAGTGGAATCATACACCACGTGTTTCTGTGACTGGCTTCTTTCACTCAGCATAATGTTTCCAAGGCTGCAGTATGTGGCAGAACTTCACGCCCTTTTATGGCTGAATAATATTCCATTGTGTGCAGACACCATGTGCTCTTTACCCACTCATCAGTTGGCGGACATTTGGGTTATTCCTACTTTTGGTCTATTGTGAATAATGCTGGGAATATATGTGTACAAGTTTTTGTGTGAACATGTTTTCAAATATCTTAGGTGTATATATCTAGGTGTGGAATTACTAGGTCACATGTAACTCTACATTAACTTTTTGAGAAAATATCAAACTATTTTTCCCAGTGACCACACCTTACTTTTTTTTTTTTTAAATCCTCATTGGAGGATATTCCTCCCCCCTCTCCCCCCTTGATTTTCAGAGAGAATGGGAGGGAGGTAGTAGAGGAGGACAGAGAAAAAACTCCTGTGAGAGAGACACATTCTTTGGCTGCTTCCTGCAAGAGCCCCAACAGGGTCCAGGGATCGAACACACAATCAAGGTACCCTTGACCAGGAATTGAACCCACAATCAAGGTGCCCTTGACCGGGAATCTTCAGTCCAAGGGCCAACATTCTAACCTCTGAGCCAAACCTGTCAAGCTTACGATGACATTCTTACCAGCAAGATATAAGGGTTCCAATTGTTGCACATACTCACCAATACTTGTTTTCCTTTTTCTTTCTTTCTTTCTTTCTTTCTTTCTTTCTTTCTTTCTTTCTTTCTTTCTTTTCTTTTTTTTTTTTTTTTTTTAAATTATAGCCACCCTAGTGAGTGTGAAGTGATGTATCTTTGTGGTTTGGATTTCCATTTCCCTAATGACAAGTGATGTCGAGCATCTTTTTATGTGCTTGAGGCCATTTGTATATCTTCTTTGGAGAAATGTCTATTCAGAGTACTTTGGCCATATTCTAATTGGGTTGTCTTTTCATTGTTGAGTTTAAGAGTTCTTTACATATTCTGGATACTAGACTCTTATCAGATATTTGATTTGAAAATACTTTCTCCCATTTTATAGGTTGTCTTTTCACTTTCTTGCTAGTATCCTTTGAAACAAAAATGTTTGTAATTTTGATGAATTCTGATTTATCTATTTTTTCTTTTGTTGCTTGTTCTTTGGGTGTTATATCTAGGACTCCGTTGACAAATTCAAGGCTATGAAGATCTACACCTGTGTTTTCTTCTAAGAGTTCGATAGTTTTAGCTCTTAATACTTCAGGTCTTTGGTTCACTGAGTTAGTTTTTATACATGGTGTGAGATAGGAGTCCAACCTCATTCTTTTGCATGTGGAAATCCAGTTGTCTCAATAGCATTTGTTGAGAAAATTATTCCTAACTGATCGAATGGTCTTGGCATCCTATTGAAAATCAATTGACTACAAATATATGCATTTATTTCTGGACTCTCAATTTGATTCCACTGACTTATACCCATCTTTATGCCAGTATCACACAATTTTGATCACTGTAATATGGTAGCTAGTTTTGAAATTGTAAAATAAGAATCCTCCAAATTTTTTCTTCTTTTCCAATATTGTTTTAGTTCCCTCAAATTTGGGTCCCTCAAATTTCCATAAGTATTTTAGGATCAGCTTACCAATTTCCACAAAAAAGACAACTGAAATTTTGATATGACTGCATTGAATTTGTAGAAAGTTTAGAAACCATTGCCATTTTAACACCATTAGTTCTTCCAATCCATGAACACTGTGTCTTTTCATTTATTTATGTCTTTAATTTCTATCGTTACTATTTTGCACTTTTCAGTGTAGAAGTCTCGCATTTATTTCTTTGGTGAAATTTATTCTTAAATATTTTATGCTTTTTTATACTATTAAAAATACAATTGTTTTCTTAATTTCCTTTTCAGATTGTTCATTGTTCTTATATAGAAATGCAACTGATTTTTGTATATTGACCTTTTATCCTGTAAACTTGCTGAACTTAATTTTAGCTTTACCAATGATTTTTGTAGATTGACCACATCACCTGCAAATATGGTTTTGCTTCTTCCCTTCCAACTTTTTTATTTTCTTACTTAACTTTCCTAGGTGGATTCTCCAGTACAATGTTGAATAGAGGTGATGAAAAAGCATCCTTGTCTTGTTCCTGATCTGGGGCGATGCCTTCAGTCTTTCACATTAAGTGTCACATTAAGTGTGATGTTCGCTGTGGGTGTTCATAGATGCCCTCTACCAGGCTAAGGTTGTTTCCTTCTGTTCTTGGTTTGCTGATTGTTTTAATCATGAAAGGGTGTTCCATTTTGTCAAATGCTTTTTCTGTGTCTATTACGATGTAATGTGGTTATTTCCCCCTTTATTCTACTAATATGGTCTATTGGTTGATTTTCATATGTTGAACAAACCTTGCGCTCCTGGGATAAACTCCATGAGGTCTTGATGTGTAAATATTTTTTTAAACTGCCAGGTTCAACTTGCCAGTGTTTTTTTTTTTTTTTTTTTTTTTTTTTTTTTTAAGATTTTACATCTATATTTATAAGAGACGTTGGCCTGTTGTTTTCTTGGGAAATCTTTGGTTTTGGTATCAGGATAATCCTGGTCTCATGAATTGGAAAGTGTTCCTTCCTCTTCTATGTTTTAGAAGAGAATATAAAGAACTAGTGTTAATTCTTTAGTTAGTAGGTTTCACCAGTGAAGTCATCTTCTGGCAACTCCCTGTTCAAGAAGCTTCTCTTCTGAACTCAGCCCTCACTCCCAGTTACCTCTGTCCAGCTCTCAGAGGCCCCAACACTCAGAGTGGTGTGGCCTCAGCAAGTCACCCATCTCCTCTGAGACTTGCTTTCCTCCATCAGATGTGGAGAGTGATCCAGGGCCCATGGGAGATGAGAGGTGTCTGGCTGGCATACTGTGGGTCATTCAACTCACAGTGAATCTAAGAGGCAGTCCTAGGTCTGGCACACGGGACCACATCAGAGAGACCCCAGGCCAGTGCAGCAGGGGGAACCCAGCCACCCACAGCTGGACCCAGAGATCCTGACAAAGCAGCTGCCTATGTCCCAACGTCAGGCCCAAAAGAAAATAACCCAAACCCACAAAAACTACGGGCTGGGGTCCTCGCTGCTCTCACACAGCAAAGCTCACCAGCCTCTGCTGAACAGAGGAGAAGGGAGAGCCATCATCAGAATCGGTCCCCATCAAACTCAGTGATGCTTTTTATAGGCCCTGGGGTGCTCTGCTCTGCATAGCAGCTTCCAATGTGCCACTGCTTTGGGCAAAGGGGTTTGGAGAGGTGGCAAGGACTGGGGCTTTCACACATGGGAGCCCGGGTACTCGAAGCAGCAAGCAGAGCGGGGCATGCGAGGCCAGGGCACCCATGTAGCTGGGACTGAGGAGACTGTTTCTTTCAAGGCTCAAGGTCACTGAGCTGCTGCTCTTCAGGAGGGTGCAGACACCGCCCGAGCCCACCTGTGGAGGTTGGGGCCTCTCGGCCTTCAGCACCTGTCCTGCCTTTCTTTCAGTAACAACCCTGAGCTTCTTCAGGGAGGGTTCCCCCTACCCTGGGGCATATTGGTTGTATTGGCATCAAGGTGGCCAGCCTCCTTGCCAAGTTGGAGCCTTCCTCTCCTGGACTCATCAGGCAGAGAGATGACAAACCAACTTTCCAATTAATCAACCAATAAAAGACTGCCCATTTCCTCCAAAAAACTAACCCTCAGTGCCCATGCACCCCAAACGCTGCCTGCAATTGCCGTGTCATGGGCCTGTCCTCTCCCGGCCCGGGGGCAGTGAGCACGCCAGCTGAAATGAGTCAGACTCAGTTTCTGTTACTAGAAATTAGGAATCAAAATTAGAAATCCACCTACCCACCTCCCTCTCATTTTACAGGGGACAGACAAACAGACTTGGAGACTGTGCCCACACCTGGAACTCTAGAATTAGGGATTTCAAAGCCCCCTTTCTTGTTTCATTTCCTTTAACATGGGAATAGTATTATCCACTTCTTCGTGTCATTAATACTTTAATAATAATAACAGTGGAAACACTGACAGCTGATTTTTGGAGCCTCAGGAAGATCCAGACCTGGCACTAAGCTCTGAATATTCACATTTGATCCTCACAACATCGTGTCAAGGTAGGCCTTCTTATCACCCCCATTTGACAGATGAGGAGACTGGAGTAGAGATGGGGAGAGCTGCCTGGGGTCATGAAGCTAAAATGGTAAGCTGTGACGCCCGGCCCTTCGGCTCCTCGAGCCCGTGCACTCTTAGGTATAAATCAGATCGCATGGCCATGCCTGGCACAGCGAGAACTAAGCATGTGGTGGCTGCTTTCAGTTCCCATACTTTTTTATATGTACATGGGAGGAAACTTAAGAGGTGCAAAAGAGCAAAAGGGAAAGTCTTCCATGGCCCCCTTTGTGGCCCAGAGGCACCTCTGTTCCCAACCTCCAGCCCCGCCTGGAGGTGAAGGCTGGGAGGCACAGCGCGGCCAAGACGGCGCTGCCGGCATCCTGTCTCAGGCTAGCTCACAGCCTCGTGCCCAACTTGCAGCGGCAGGAGGAGAAAATGCTAGTGCTTTAAAACAACAACAACAAAAAACCCCTACACTATTATATATTTAAAGACAAGGAACATTCCCGTTGGGTGCATGAACTCCATGCTCTAGGGAAGCAGGACTGTGAGGGGGTGCATCTGGGCCCTGGACTAGGTTGGCTGCAGGATGTGCACTTGGCCCCACCACCTTCCAGCTTTGACCTTGGCTAAATCAAAGCCCTCTCAAAGCCTTTGTTTATTTACCTACAAAACAGCCACGTTGACCTCAATAATCTCTGAGGTCCCACGTTTGGTGGTGACTGTCGTAAACTGCAAGATGGAGAAAAGGGCTGGATTGGCTCCTCGTCCCCTCTCCCAAGCAAACCCCGCAGAGCAGAGATCTGGGAAGAGTTTGGGGGACAGTGTGGAGCCCCCACCTTTGCCACAGCTCCTTCCCACATGGTCCAAATGAGTACCAGGGGAGATTGCATTGTCCCCTGCTCACACCCCACCTTAGGTGAGGACATGTCATGGGCAGAGAAGATGCATCCCAATGCAAGGCTAAGCCTCACTGCAGTGCTGCTCCACTTACAGCCAAGTTCCTGTTGACCAGCTGGCCCAGGTCCCCCGGCGTGTCCGCGTTACGGATATCCACGTCGTGAGGGGACACGTACAGCTTTGTGTTGTCCAGGTCAAAGAACTCGACTTCAGTGAGGCCCACCCACGACGGGCTGCCCCAGTTGGACAGGATTTCCATCGTCACGTAGATGGCATCTTTCATCTCTTCTGCTTTCGCTGCCAACTTGTCCTTAAAGGAGAAAAACGTGATGCCAAAGATGAAGCATGGCAGGCCGACTCCAGCCCCAGCACCCAGCCACGGGCCATCCCCTCTCCGTGCCTGAGGGTAAGGGCAGCACCCTGGACCTACGGTTATTATGTACCTATGGTTACCATGAAGACTAAACAAGCCTGTGGTCCCCCCACCCCCTCCATTTCTTGCCTTAATTGTGTTGTGGTTTTTTTTTTTTTTTTTTTTTTTTCCCAAGTAGGCAAAGTTCATCTTTATTTATTGGTAATCCTATTTGTGAAGACTGAAACATAGCTATTGTGTACGTGAGCACCTGGTGTTTCCTGCTTAAAAGGCAGTGTATTTCGGGGCAGGGAGGGGACCTTACAATTAATTTTTTATTTCTATTAATTTTATCTTATGTTGGTTTGTAAAGAAAACTTTTGGATTTATGTTAATCTAAGAATATAATTCCTTGTAACATAAAAAAAAATAAGGCAGCATATTCTGTCTGAACATCACGTATGCCTCTTCCCCACTACCAGGTGTTCAGTCCTAAAGGCATGTCACAACTTCTGCTGAATTGGGCAGGTCCCCCCACACTCATGCTGAACCCTAACCCCAGTAGCTCAAAGCATAACTGTATTTGGAGACAGGGCCTTTAAAGAGTAATTAAGTTAAAATGAGGCCATTAGAATGGGAATACATCTGACCAATGTCTTTATCGGAGGAAATTTGGACACGTGGGAAGACACCAGGGATGCTCATGCACAGAGAAACGGCCGTGGGGACACGGGGGGGAAGGTGGCCATCTGCAAGCCGAGGAGGAAACCAAACCCACCAACACCTCACTAGTGAACTTCCAGCCTCCAGAAGTTTGAGAAAATGAATCTTATTTAAGCCACCAGAGTGTGGTACTTGTTAGGACAGGCCCAGCAGAATAACGCAGTAGATAACACATCTCTGTCTAGCTGAGGAACCGAGATGACACCATCCACCTGCCACTGAGACTAAGTGAGAGATGCCTCAAGTCTTGGCCCTGTGGGTCCTCCCCCCACCACCCCCCCCCCAATTTCTTGCCTTAATTGTGTTGTGGTTTTGTTTTGTTTTTTCCAAGTAGGCCAAGTTCATCTTTATTTATTGGTAATCCTCACCCCAGGATACGTTTATTGATTTTTAGAGAGAAACATAAAATGTGAGAGACATTGATCGGTTGCCTCCTATACACACTACAACCATTGACCCCCAACCTAAGTATGTGCCCTGGCCGGGAAATGAACCCACAATCTTTTGGTGTGTGGGGTGATGCCCCAAAGAACTGGCCCACCTGGCCAGGCTCTCCTTCACTGGTTTTGATGTCTGCCTCCCTCATGGGCAGGCTATTCTGTCTGAGAGGCTGCGTGGATGCCATCAGTAAACGGCCACACTGTGGAATGGCCTCCTGAGGCCCAGTGGGTGGCCACGGATCAGCCACTCATAAAGTGGCGCATCCCCCGTGCACATGCCCCCTGGTAATTAGCGCTGGTAATCGGTACTGGCTCTGTGAGCCGGGAGCTGAGCAGTGAACAGCAAATGTTCCCTCCTTATTTTTTTAATTAATAGCCAGCGACATGTATTCTGGCTCTCAGCATGTGTTTGGAGGAGCCCTGATTGCCACACACTGCAAACGAGGAAACAAGGATGTGAGGGAGGGAGGTCAGCTCACGGCTCCCAGAAGGAACATGGGCGTTTTTTGTTTGTTTGTTTGTTTGTTTTTTAAATATATTTTATTGGTTTTGTACAGAGAGGAAGGGAGATAGAGAGTTAGAAACATCGATGAGAGAGAGTCATCGATCAGCTGCCTCCTGCACACCCCCTACTGGGGATATGCCTGCAACCAAGGTACATGCCCTGGACCAGAATCGAACCCGGGACCCTTCAGTCCCCAAACTGACGCTCTATCCATTGAGCCATGGTCTCGGCAGAACATGGGCGTTTTTATTAGCTTGGCCCACAGACCCCTCGGCCTCCTCCTCCTGTGCGGGCTTCCCGCTCCTGTGCTGTGCGGTGAGGGCTGCCCTGGGTCCAAGTCCAGGTTTGACCAATGGTGATACACCTAAGCTGGCCTGGCTGAAGTGGGGGCTGGAGGTTAACCCGCTTGTGCTTGTGAGAGGCACTGCCAGGTGAGAGGTGCGGGAGGCGTGTGAGAGGCCGTGCGGGAGGCTGTGGGAGGTGTGAAGGCGTGGTATGCTGCACCCTGGCTGTTGGCTGCAGGGAGGAGGGCCAGACGGCCGGCCAGCCGCCTCGCAGAGGGGCGGCTGGATCTCACACCCATGCAACCTCAGATGTGCGAGCTCCCGCAGGGAGTTCCCGAATGAAGAGCTGAAGGACCTATTAACTGAGGAAGTGTCACAACTTATCAGTGCTGCAACTCCACGGCTCTTCCTGCTCTGAATGGCGAGATTTAGGTCCCTCCAGAGGGTCTGAGACCAACACTGGGGAGGGGAGAGGGAGGAGGGGAGGGAGAAAGGAGAGAGGGGGAAGGCTCAGGGTTCCTGGCACTCGCTGTGGCTCTCATCAGGACCACTGGATTTTCCTGGGGGGAGTTTCTCCTTTTCTTTCCTCAGCTCTGAGGTATCGCATGACCCTTTTCCCCGCCAGGAACCAGTGTGTCCGGTCCCCTGGGCCAGCAGAAGGAATGGCCGTGATCTGAGGGGCAGGGCTGCCCTTCTCTCCTGACCGGGGTCTGCGGGTGAGAGGTGGAACCACTCCAGCTATCAGGGGCCACAGGGCAAGAGAAGAGGGCGTGGTGGGAGGGGCTCAGGGATGCAGCTGGCGCTGGACCAGCCCCACCTGGCTCCCCTGTGGCATTTACTACAAGCCCCGTCATCTGTCTGCGCTTTGTCTGGGAATCCGTTCGCCTTACGTTTTCCGTCTCTTGTAACACAAGGAGACTCCATCAACCCAGGCAGGTCTCAGTGTGTGGTTTCAGCACACTTAGCATCTCCACGGCTAAGACGGCAACTTCCAAGCAGGAGAACAAAGCTTTGACTTTGCTAGATCTTTCTAGATGGAAAACTTTCCACTGGTGTCCCAGCTTCTCCCTGCCTGTGCCAGGCGTGGAGCTTTCACTCCCCTGTCCCAGCCCCACAGACGGCCACGCACTCCCAGGACCAGAGAGTCAGACACGTGTCTGAGGCCTCACGCCCTTAAAAGGTGGTGCCAGATGCACAGATGAGACTCGTGGGAGGGGGAAGGGAGGGTGGTTTGCAGGGCTTTCTGCGGTTTTGAGTCTTAACATTCAACTTTGAGAGGCTCCATGTTAAGTCCTCATTGGCCAATCGTAAGACACGTGACCACCAACCAAATAAGAGGGGCTTGGGTACAGGGAGGGTGGGGAGCCCCATCCCCCGCCTCCCTGGGCCCCGGTGCAGCGAGAGTCCCGCTCCGTGTCGGTGCCGTCACGCTGGACCAGACGAAGACTAATGGCACCTCTTGCAGGTACCGTGCAGCCTTAACATTTTCTATCTGGGTAATCTCCATAACGATGATTTCCATCCTTTCATACTACTGCATTATGCTGATATATCACACTTTCCTGATTACCTCCATTATTAAGGCACATTTATGTTATTTTTGGTTTTTTCCCCCCTCATTTTTTCTCTACTTCCAATAACTCAGCAGCAGACACCTTGGTGCCTATAGCTTTTTATTGCTGCTGACTTCTGCGGGTGAGGAGGGGGATACTGGGCTGGAAGACAAGCAGTGCTAAGGCTCTTCCTAAGTCCAGCCGTCTGCTTTCCCAGAGCGTCCGCCGTCTCCTTGCTGCCAGCAGGGCAGGATGGCCGGCCTCCGTAACAGTGCCAGCACCAGAGGTTACCCTCAAGGTCACTCTCTCACTCACTCACTCACTCCCTCGGATGTCCCAAGGGACATACAGGCTGCTCGAGTTTGCATTTCTTGGCTGTCAGCGATGCGGGGACCTTCCTTGGGGCTCGTGTGCTGGGTTATTCCCTCTGTGTGGAGAGCTGCAAGGCCTTGTTCCACGTTTGTCTGTGCTGGGGATGAGGGGACCTTTGTCTGTGATGGGGACGAGGGGACCTTTGTCTGTGATGGGGACGAGGGGACCTTTGTGCTGGGGACAAGGGGACCTTTGTCTGTGCTGGGGAGGAGGTGACATGCACGTGGCAGAAAGACACCGAGGTGGCCACCATCAGAACAATCCCACGGAGCAGAAATGACCGCACATGGGCCCTGCCAGCCTCAGCTCCAGGAGAGACACTGAGGGCATTTACATCCCTGCGGGCCCGCTCTCACCTCTGGGGCCGGCACCTGCTCCTCGGCCGGGGAAGCCACCCGGCTGACATGGGCAGAGTCGCTTTCGATGGCCCGGAGGACTTCCAGAAGCTTCTGCTGCTGCCTGAAATGGGACTTGTTTTAGCAATCAGGTAACACGTGCTCCACACAAAGGACCTTCCCAGCAAAGCCCCACTTCTGCTCTACCTCAGGGGCGTGGGACATCGTGAGGAAAGTACAGTTGACCCTTGAACAAGGCAGGGGTTAGGGGCACCAACCTCCCAACACATGCAGTTGGAAATCTGCGTACAGCTTTGGACTCCCCCCAAACTGAACGACGGTCCCTCAGTATCGGTGCGGGGTTGGTGCCAGGACCCCATGCAGATGGCACACTCCGTGGTGCTCAGGCCCCCTGTATAAAACGGCCCTGCCTCCCAGCCTGGACCACAAACACTGCTTTCCGCCTGCACTTGGTGAATGTGTGATGCAAAACCAGGGATAGGGAGAGCCAACTGTATACTTACTGAATAAACCACGTATAAGTGAACCCATGCAGTTCAACCCTGCGTTGTTCAAAGATCGACTATTATATATTCACCCCACATATAGTTCAAAGGGGCACATGGGATGTTTTTCTCTATAATTAATTGTAAAGTAGTGATGAGACCAGTTAAATAAAAGAAACCATGTCGAGCAAGATGGCCTGCTGAAACTCACTAATAATTGGTAAGAGTCTACAACAGGCTCTGGCCAGTGTGGCTCAGTGGTTAGAGTGCCAGCCTATACACCAAAGAGTCCTCCTGGGTTCAATCCCAGTCACGGGCACATGCCTGTCTTGCAGTTCAATCCCCAGCCCTGATCAGGGTGCAGGTGGGAGGTAACCAATCAATGTGTCTCTTTTACATCTATGTTTCTTTCTCTCTCCCCCCCTCCCCCGCCCTACTCCCTCCCTTCCTCCCTTCCACTCTCTCTAAAAATCAATGGAAAAAAATATCCTCAGGTGAGGATTAACAACAACAAAAATCTATAACAGGGTCCACAAAGTATAGCCTGCAGCTCAAACGCAGCCTGTGGCCTGCTTTTAGATGGCCTGCAGACTAAGAATGTTTTTTACGTTTTTAAAGGGTGGTTAAAACAAACACACAAAAGGCGAAAAGCCCAAAGTATTTGCTATTTGGCCTTTTACCAAAAAAGTTTGCCAACCCTTGTCCTAGAGACCACTCGGGTTTCTGAGGCCCCGGGTTCCAGACCCAGCAGAGTTGTCTGCAACTCCCCCCCCCCCACCTCCCCCACACACACACTCACACACCGTGTGCTGTGTAAGGCCGCACACCCCTCGCCCCCAGCCGGCACGGGCAGTGGTAAGCCACAGTGAGCAGGCTCCGCTCGGCGCCCGGGCATGGCTGCGGGCCAGTGTGTGCTTGTAAACACAGGCTCAACCTGGCGCGGCTTTCAGAAGATCAATTTTGCCTGAAAACTAGAGGAAAGCCTTTATTTGATAATGAAACTTGACAGTTCCAATAACCGACGTTGCATGTTAATGGAGCAGAAGGCTGCACTGGAACAAATGTTAACAGAGAAAAGGAGGGTGCTGCTCTGGACCACAGCCCCCGCCTCACCCCAGGCCGCCTGGGACCAGGCTCAGCACCGCCTCTGTGGGGGTCTTCCGAGGGCACCTTTAAGGAGGGTGAAGTGTTCCCAGGTTGAACTGAACTCAACAAGCAGAGACACTTGCCTGAAAGAAACCGTCACTTCTGCATTTAGGGCTAGTGGGGGGTGCGGAGGGTGCAGTTCAAGGAGTGTTTTAAATGGTCCGTAGTCACCTCGGCCCTCCCAGCTGCACTGCCTTAGGTTACTTCTTTTGGTTTTGAAGTCCTCGTGGTAAGTACCTGTTCCCCAAGAGGCCGATTCTGTCAATGGCTGCGCTGACTGCTCTGGCTCCCCCTGCCGCCTGGGATGGCTCTTCCGTGCTGGTCTCCATGGTGATGGGAAGCGGCTGAGGATGGAAAGGTTTATTAAACAGATGTCTGGGGTGACACTCCTGGCCCAAGATACAGCAGAGCCATAGTCAAAGGGACATACTCCTCAGGTAACCAGTCACGTTGCAGGAAGCAGGGGACAGGAGGAGAGTGACAGCGTCTGCCCGGGGCTGATGAGATCAAGAACCCCCTCCCATGAGCTTTGCAAAGGGACAGGGATGTCAGTTTCTTATGATCTGGGAAGTCCCAGGAAAGGATCTGCTTCAATGAGCTTTTGAAAAATTTCTCTCCGTGTGCACTCTCTCTCAGACCCGTGCCTTTCTCCTCTTCTTCCCTCAAGGTGTGTGCCTTTTCTCTCTGCCCTAAGATCCAAAGAAACTTAAAAATAAAAAAAAATTAGATCCTGGCTGGGTAGCTCAGGTGGTTAGAGCATTACCTCAACACGCCAAGGCTGAGGGTTTGATACAAGGATCAATTAATGCATGCCATACATAAGTGGAACGACAAATGGAGGTTTCTCTTTCTCTAAAATCAGTAAGTGAAAAATAAAAATAAATTTCATCAACACCTTTCCCCATCTCAATACCTGTTCTATTTGCGACAAAGTAATGGGACTCCATGGAGAATTCTAATAACATCATTAGACCCTTCTGCTTTTCCCCCCCTTCTCAAAATATATCGTCTAAACGGGAAGTGTGCTCGGCTCTCTATCTGCAAATGCTTTCAGTCACTGGAAGCCCTGTGGGTCAGGGTCAGGTCATTCAGAAACCTTGGGGCAAAGGTGGGCAGTGCTGCAGATTGTCCGGACTGTCCGGACATCAGCCAGGGGCGGTCTGAGATGAGCAGGAAACAGCAGAACAAGTGAGAGGGATGCAAAGAGAAGCCTCCACAGTGCTCCCGGTGCTGCCTGAACACCATTCTATCCCAACTGGATGCTCACTCCTCTCTTACCCCCCACTCCCCCCAAAACCAGGCTTCTTCCTGCTCTGACAACTCATTCTCACTTCAGAGCTGCTCCCTGTTCATCCTACTTGAAATGCTGCTTCCTGTTGCTGGCTGACTCCTTCTTAGCACACAGGGTCAGCTCACATGAGGCCTCCTCCGAGGGGCCTCCTGGGACCCCTGCGGAGAGCGCCACCATCCCATACCCATCCGCTTTGTCATCTCCCTGAAGTCACCTGCTTATTTATGGCTTCATTTGCTTGTTGCCTGAATGCTTTGCAAGGCCAGGGGCTAATCTGATCTGTATTCTGAGCACACAGCACAGACTGGAGCACAACCTAAAAGACATTCCCGGGCATTTTATTAATTCCCGTCTGTATTTGCCGGGATAGGTCTAATTGACCTAGGTAGATAGGGCTAGAATTTATTTACTCAGAACACTCAGGTCTGTTTTTGGTGTTGTCTTGTCAGGAAGTAGAAATGTAACAAGAAGCTGGAGTCAGCAGGCCTGGCTCAGCCCTGCAGGACATGGAATGGGCAGGACAGCTCTGTGCCCAGGAGCAGCGAGGACCTGCTGGGTGACGTGAGGGAAGCTCTCTGGAGCCCCAGGTGCTGTGGGCATGGGTTTTGCTCTCCTCTCGGGCCTCCACTGACCTCTGGGCTCTCCTCCTGTGCCTTCAGCAGACCAGTCCACGGTTTTGCTGGAGGTTCCTCCATGCCCTGGAATGATGTAATCACATGACCTGAGGTCAGAACAAAGCCACCCACTGTCTACGCCTCACTGACAGAGGAGGGTGAAGAGGGGCAGGGACCGTCCTGCGATCTCCTACACAGACACAGGAAAGGACTGAGCTCCAGGAAAACACAACAAGTGCCGCTCGATGAGTGTCCCAAAGAACAGGCCACATTGGGGGCTGCGAAGCAATGGGATGGGCTCCAGGCTTGCAGGCATGGCCTGAGTGAGCCACCTGGCTTCCCTGGTGCCCTCGGCACCTCTGAAGATAGGGTGCTGAAACAGTGCTGCATCTTCCAGGGTTACTGTGAGCATCCGTGGGACAAGCTAAGGTCGAAGGTTTCAGCAGCTGAGTCACAGAGCGTGCTTCTGAGAAAGGATGTGTACACCGAGCATGTCAGGACCTGCGCTTCCAAGGGGCCCTGCTCACCCCACTGTTTCTCCTGCTTATTGCTCAAAGCCCAGGGCAGAAGGCACAAACTCAAACCCTGTAGGGCCAGGGAGGTTTTCTGAGCAGGAGAAGCAGTCCGGGCAGGGCTGAAGGGATGGGGAGGACCCAGAGGCCTGTCAAGCTCATGCTCTGGGAGTGACATCTTTCCAGAGAAGCCAGGGCTTGCCGTTTACTCCATCCTTTCTCTTACCTCCAGTTTGCAACCCTAGTCTGAGGTGTCAGGTCTGCAGGGAGATCGGCAAGGATTAGAGGCATATTGGCATTCAACTTGGGCTTTCCACATTAAATGGAAAATGGGAAGGCGGAGGAAATGGAACCTCTGACAGGCGGTGAGGGACTGTGCAATAAGCAATGGATGTGCAGGTCAGTGTGAGGTCAGAGATTCCCACACCACGTGCTCGGTGCCAGCACTGCTCAGACACCCGGCCCCGGAGTAGCAGAGTCCTAGGTCCCCTCCCCCAGCCAGGGACCACACAGGCACCTGCAGCTGGCTGCCGGGGGGCTCGGCCCTCCTGCTCAGGATCGCCCTCTGCAGGGCTTCGTTCTCCACCTGGATGGCGCGGAGCACAGCTGATGCATCCTCCTGGGGGTCCTCGGCCTGGAGCACAGGTTTCCGGGCTGCTGAGAGCGGTCTCTCCCGGCGGCTCCCAGGTCCTGGGGGCAATAACAGGGGGTCTCCCTTTAGAGTGCTTTCTCAGAGAGCAGCTTAAGAACTATCAGGCTCAAGTTGAGAACAATCTATAAAACAAATGTCAAGGTCATGAAAGACACAGACAGCCAAGAGCTGACACATTAAAGGAGACTGGCAGACATACCACTGAAGGCAGCGGCCATCCTGGGGCTGGACTGGGGGAGCGAGCTGTAAGAGCATCATTTCGCAAAGGGGAGGAATCCAACCTAGTCTGCAGCTTAGATAACAGCACTGTCTGAATGCTAAATTAGCCTAAATTTCATTTTAAGTGTGCCGTGGTAACATAAAACGAATGCCCTTTTTCTCAGGAGATACAGCCAGCCCCCCGTATCTGCGGGCTCCACAGTCGCAGATTCAAATGTGCACTATTCAGTTAGGCCTGTGATCGCTGCTTCTGTACTCAACTTGCTCAGTCTTTTTTCCTTGTTGTTAGTCTCTGAACAATAAGAATAATAACTATTTACATAGCACTTACACTGTGTTAGGTATTATAATCTAGACATCATTTAATGCATACAGGAGCATGTGCATAGGTTATATGCAAATATTACCCCAATTTACAGAAGGGATTTGAACATCAGATTTTGATGTCCACAGGGGTCCTGGAATCAATCCCCCCCAGATACAGAAGGGCAACTATGCATACAGCAGTGTTCAGGGATAAAGGGGAATGATATATTTTTTTAAAATCTCAAATGATTAAAACACACACACACACACACACACACACACACACACACACACACACACATCATAAAGCAATTGGGATCAAATGCCAACAACTGGTGAGCCTGGATGAGGGGTTTATGGGAGATCATTTGCACCATCCCTGCAACTTCCTATAAGTGTGACATTATATCAAAATAAAGTTATTAAAAATTAACCCTCTAGCAAAGTATCTATAAGGAATAATATATAATATGGAAAAGGATGAATATTTATTTGTTAATCCTCACCAGAGGATATGTTTATTGATTTTTTTTAAAGAGAAAGGAAGGGAGGGAGGGAAGGAGGGAGAAAGGGAAGATGGAAGGAAGAGAGAGAGAAAGAGAGAGAAATAGAGAGAAATAGAAAGGAGAGAGAGGGAGGCATCTATGTGAGAAACATTGATTGGTTGCCTTCCATATGCTCCCTGACTGGGGACTGAAAATGCAACCTAGGTATGTGCCCTGATCAGGAATTGAACCCACAACCTTTTGGTATGTGGGACAATGCTCCAACCAATGACCCACTTGACCAGGGCAAAAGGATTAATATTTGAAATATTTTTGCTTTATGTTGTTTTTACAGGAATAACAAGAATTACAAAAAAATTACTCTTCAATTTAAGAAAAATAGTATTGCAAAGGTACAGTTGATTTTGGAAATTCCAATAGTGAAAAAATTGGTTTTTATAAAGTATAAAGTGATATACAAAAACATCCAATAAGACTGGCTGAATAAAATATGTTATGGTATATCCACCTAATGGTGGAATACTATATAGCTGTGAAAAGAAAAGCATACTAAAATATCTACAGCATAATATGATGACTTAAATTTGCTTCATAACTATCTGGGGAGTAGAGGAAATGAAATTGGCTGGTAATGGACACATAGGGCTCACTATAACATCCTCTCAAATGTTTATATTTGGATTCTTTCTATGTTTAAAAAAAAAAAACTCCACTTAAAAGAACTGCTTGTACCAGCCAGTGTGGTACCGAAAGGTTGTTGGTTGATTCTGGGTTGTGGGTTTGATCCCAGACAGGGGATGTGCATGCAGTAGGCAGCCAATCAAGGTTTCCTCTCATGTTAATGACTCTCTTTCCCCCTTCCTCTCTCTCTAGAAATCAATTTAAGGGGGGTGGGGGAAAGAAGACCCTTCAATGATTTCTAAAACTGCTCGAAATATTTCTATTGGGATCTTGAGAGAGGCTTTTACCTACTGAATTTATTGAATGCCACTCTGCCACATCTGTTCTTGGCGCTGGGGACATAGCAGTGATCAGACAGATCAAGATCCCCCACCGTTGGGGAGAGAGACAATTGCTAGAGAAAGATAAATAGTACAGGGTGTTAGCAGAAAATGACATGGAAAAACAAGACAAGCAGAGCAGGGCAAAGGAGACGGGGTGCGGGATGGAGGGTGAGAGTCAGGGAGCACTAGGGAAGCATGGCCCAGGCACCGGGCAGAGCGAGAAGCCTGTGGTGTGTCCGTGGGCAGCAAGGCACCTCGGGCTGGAGCAGAGGGAAGGCCAGGTCACACAATAAGGCCATGCCTCTGAGTACAGTGGGAAACTACAGAAGGGTTTAGAGCAAGAGATGACCTGAGCTGACGTAGGTGAACAGACTGGAGGGAGGTGAGGGTGAGCTCAGAGAGGCCGGTGAGCAGCCAGCACAGCTATGCAGAGAGGCATGGGAGCAGAGGCAGAGGGATATGGAGCGCAGATTCTGCACATCCACTGCTTTCCTGACAGCATAGGTGCGGCTGGGGGAGAGGGAGGAGCCAAGGGTGACTGGGTTTGGGCCTGAGGAAATGGACAATGGACTCGCATTCAGTTGAGCTGGGAGAGCTGTGGGGAGCGGGTTTAGAAGAAGGAGCGGGCTCAGGTTTGGACAGGTTGGGTCTGGGATGTGTTGGCATCAAAGTGGAGCTGCTGAGTTGGCAAAGTGGGGGTCCACATATATGTGGCCTGGTATAAAGCTTGTTGAAAAACAGGGTCCTTCCATCCTCATGACCTCCAGAAACCATCACTGTTGATGACCGCAGATTCCTCTTGGAGACCCTTGACCTCTGCTATGTGCTGTTAGAATGCTGTGTCTGAATGACAGTTCAAGCAGCAGCATAAGAGGGGCACTGGCAGGGGAGGGAGGGGTCACGGCAGCTCCATGGATGACCTCCAGTACAGCCAGGCGCTGGGTGATGGGACTATAGGTTTTTACGGAAAAGCCAACCTAAAATGGGGCACTACCAATTTCTACCAGGTACCCAGGAGAGGGGATGTGAATGCAAGCATCCAGGGACCAGAGGCAGGCATACGGAGTAAGCCTGGACCCCCCTCAGTAAGGAGCCAACACCTGGCTCCAGGCGACACCTGCCATATTGACCTGTGGTCCTAGTATTGCCATTTTATTTTTTTCAGGAAAAGCTCAAATATGAAATTTTTGTGAAACCCCCTTAGTTTTGTTTGTTCATAACATACCCCAGGTTTAAGAAGCATGATCAATAGAACCCAGGGGCTGATCTAGTACTGTCCAAGCTGCTTCCCTGGGGGAGAGGGGGCGGGGCTGGTGGTGTTGGTGTCAAGGGCATCCACAGGAGCCCTCGAGCACCCGTGGCTGGCTGGCCTGCGCAGTAAGCAGCAATGGGCCATTTTCTGACTTTGATGGACTCTGTCATTGCCCAGTGCTGCTCCTGGGGACAGAAAAGTAATGAGCTGCTTGCAAGGTGACCCGGGGTTTCTGCTCACCCGGCCAAGGCTGCATTAACTTTCCCTGCTTGCCTTCTTATCAGCTCCCCGGCCTGCTCTGCAGTCAGAGGGATGAGAAGGTAAAGAAACAGGCAGAGACAGCCAAGCTATAAGGAACCGGTTTAACGAGCTGCAGGAGGGGGATCCTCAGTGAATGAAACAAGGCGGGTAATAGGGTGCCGAGGGCTACACTGCGGTCTTCTCACTCGGGGCGAAAGGAGCTCCGGCGCCTGAAGGAGCTGGGAGGCCAGAAGGGAGGAGTGAAGGAACACTAACGGACTTGGTCTGGAGCTACAGTGGGGCAGGGCTGAACTCCTGCACTGCAAACACACGACGCCCGGGGGGAGCTGAGCGGAACCCCTCCCAGCAGCACGAAGACAGCAGGATCGGGTTCTAGACCTGACACGCTGTGGGATGCCACGCTGCTCGGGGCTCAGAGCTACAGGGGTGGATGCAACAGGCACACGCTGCCTTCACACTCACAGCCGTGGGGCAGACAGACAAGGTTAGGCAGGTGCACACAGGACATGCAGCAGGTGGCGAGTGCTGGGAAACCAACAAAGCAGGCGAGGAGGAGAGAAGCCAGGAGGGGCAGGATGCCGAGGGGAAGGAGACACTCGGTCAGTAAGGTGACATCTGAGCAGAGACCTTGGGGCACGAAGCCTGAGAACGCCCATTCCGAGAGGCTGTTCCAGGCCACGGCCCTGAGGTGGGCAGAGGTGGGCTCAGTGAAGAGTGAGGAGTGGCAGGGGAGCTGGAGGGAGGGACGAGGAAAGCATGGTGGGCAGTGAAGGTGGAGAAGTCTTGCGCTCAGTTCTCATGTGGCCATTTAAGCCCACAGGCCTGACACTGCCTCAGGAGGCCACGCCCATCTTGCTTAGGGGCACCTGGCATTACGGTTTTTGTCAAATGAGCGATGGAAAATGATTTCAACCCCAAACCTTGTTAACCTCCGTATTTGTGCATATCATGAAAGCATATAGTTTCCTCCATCACCTGACCCTTCAGATCCTAGGACGCAGCGATTTTCAATGGTTGTGCAACGGCACCCTGGTGGGTCACAAGATTTCTTAAAACGTGCAATCCTGACTGGGCTTGATCTATTTTCCCTTAGATTACCAAATAAACAAATGACCACAGCTGACCAGTGTAAAAGAACCAAAATTATACTTATTTTAGTCATATAGATAAAAAAATATATGTTTTGGTGTGCTGCAGAATTTTAGTAATTAATGTGTGCCATCAGATGAAAAGGGTAGAAAATCCTGCTGTAAGTGATTCTATAAATAAGGGTCTGAAATCTGTATTCAGCTAAACAATGCGCAGCACTGATACTGGGGGGCGGGCTGGGGGAGGCAGGCTCCCGCCCTGGAGGCACCTGAAATTCATGCTCCTTTTTCATTCCCGGCATAGCGCACTTTAAATCAGTTACAAAGATCTGCGTGGTGACCTTGGCCTTTGTGCCGCCACCAGGTGCCCCGTGGTCTGGGCCCGGTGAACAGCTGCCTGAG